AGTAAAATCGACATAACGAAACAGGTATAACCCGAAAATAATATAGGACAAAAATAAAGCAGTTTTTGAAAATGGTTTCAACTAAAATACTTGATATTTGAGGATGCCGAGTGTATGGAAAGCATGTATGTAATTTTTCTATCGTACATTGCATCTTTTTTATTCAATCCAAATTGGTTGGAATTATATATATATAACACGATTCCCAACTTACTTGAATCCATTAACAATGGTGGTAGTACTTTTATTATTATTTTTTTTAATTTTATTTTCTATTCCTACATTGTTTCTGTACCTCTTTATCATAAGGAATACAAAACCGAGAAAAAGAACGGAACAAACGATTTCAAATTGTATATTTTTTTTATTTAAACGAGCAGTGTCCTCCGAAAAAAAGTAGCTGCTATCAGTGGTAGTTAAAACGGACTGTCATCTTTTAAGGATCACGAGAATCCGTGGAAATGTCGAATTGCGCAGTCAAATTATATTTAAATAAGATTTTGAGATTTTTGGAACGTTTGAGTCTTATACAGTTTTTTTGGTTTTAAGACTTATCATAAAAATTGGCTGCTGGAAAAAATTGGCTGCTATCTTGATTGTGACATGTTGCATGGCAAATTTTCTCCTATGACATCATAATTTTCCAATGTCAGTCAACATTTAATTTAATAATTGGCTAGACACGTACTTTAGGAATTTGCCAAAAAGTTACATTTATTGTAATGTACCTGCTGGTAGTCAAACTTAATCTTTTAATGAACAATCCAAATTTTACAATACATTAAAACAGAATGGTTTACTGGGAAGGATAGTACTTCTGTACTAAGTTTTATGCTGGGGAAATATTTTAGAAATCGCACTTGTTTGCCGTTAGGCATTTCGTGGTCATACATTAATTATTGAAATACATGTTATCAATGTTTTACACGTAATTACTTTAGTTAATATGATGTAATTAGTTACATGCTTCATTGTTTGGTGGTCACGCTACAAATTAATTATATTACAGATACAATTTTTTTGACAGACGGCATGTATTTTGTTTTATCTCTACATCTTCCTTTGGCGGATGTAAACAGCAGAGCAATAACAACAAAAATGTTTCTGTAAAGTGTTTTCTTAGAAGGTTGATTGCATGTTATATTGTGTATGCCTAATTTTATGATTTTGTTTCAGTAAAACATGCATATTTTTTCAAGTTAACCATACGTATCCGATTTTTAATAGAAAATTACAAGTATGCACGTGTATTCGTTTTTGTTATAGTTTAAATTAAGGTTGAACTGATGATCAAAATATGAAATTCTGAAGAAGTGGATGTATTTAACCTAACTTAACAGTGTCAAGTTTTAACGGCATATTCATAAGGTCACAGGAATATCTGTTCCGTTGTATTTTTGTTCATACCTTTTTTTTAAATTTTTTTTTATGTTGGAGTTATTCTAGTTAAAAATGTTACAACCTTCAATGGAGGTATTTACTTTTTTTCCAATCTAACAAATTTCATCGACGAAAATTTCAATGAGCAAAAGGTAAATTAAATTGAATTTAAATTTGGTAGATCTATAACATTAAGAGGCAATAAACTTGATAAATGTACATGGTTCTGCATTAAATTCATCTACCAATTCCGTAAAATGAGATTTTTTTTTGTATCACAACATGATAATTTTGAATTAATGTTTCGTAAAATTATTGTTATTTAATGACACTTAATGTCTTGTCAAATCTAGTTATAACATGAAAAAATAATAACTAGATCCTGTTATGGTGACTATGAGTTTAGTTTTTTTAAATTAGATAAATGGTAATTTAGAATGAAGAGAGAAAATTTATTTTTTAGAAATGTATTATCATCTTCGATGAACTTAACATTTAAACTTTTTTATATCTCCAAAAGCGGTACAGAAGATCCTTGTCCTGAGGTTTTTACAAATCACGTCCAAAGAACGCACAACTGTGAACCGAACCGCATGGTTTACCCCAGGTTTTGTAAAAGTAAAGCACAAATAACAGTCGAGAGCCGCTTAAACAAAGACAATTTATAGAACGAAAAAAGCCGTCCAATTTCAACAGAGATTTGCATAGTTTTAGTACAATTCGACAACGTAACCGAGTTTTGCACTGAAAATTGTAATGTATCGCTTAAATCATGTCAATACAGGAGCTCTGACTACAGATTGGATAGTTCTCTCCAGGAATTACATACTACCAGAGTCGCAATGAATCGACCAAGAGGTGTTAAACTAACATGGATTTCACTGCGCACCAGGAAGTGTTTTTCTGGAGCTTGAGACTTAAGGCTTTCGCGGGCAGTTACTGTGCTTATTCAATAGTCTTTTCCCTTTCACGATACTGAATGTTTCGTTTATTATTAGTTTGAGCTAATTGATACTGTGAAAGGGCTTTCGAATAAGCACAATATAAAAAAACTGAGCCACTAAACCGGCACAATATACTGTATGTATAGTCTAGATTTAAATTCACATCAAAATATAATTACATAGTGAGTTTGATTTATTAACAAAAATCATAATTAGGTGTCAAAATTGGGGTTTAATTTGTCTTTAAATAGTAATATAACTGCGTGATATATGGTAAAATATATAAAAATGTCCCCTTAAAATATGTACCTTTAAACAATTTGCGAAACTTTGGCCTGTTAATAATAAGTTAATTTTATAAAAAAAAATCGTGAAATCGAACGGTAATAGAACCCGTTATTTGATATGACGAAGACTTTTTATATATTTATATATGTGTATACGTGACAAGAGGAGACGGTTCTACCTGCAGTGCAGAGACATACACCGTGATAGTTATGAAGCTAGGAAATTGTTTTTTTTATTTATTCAAGGATTTGTATAGTAAGTCTTACTATACAAATCCTTGATTTATTTAATATAAATACCATGATAGTAATGATACTGTATGAATTTGTTTGCTACTACGGAAACTGGTCTTTTTTAAGTTTCCTTCGCGCCATGGATTTGTATCGTATGTCCTACTATACAAATCCTTGTCGCATGTACAACATGGATAAAATGAGCCGGACTCTTGCCCATTCTGTAAAAAAAAAAAAATCATCAGAATGACTCGAGTTGCTGAATGCCATGTCAAACAAAAATATGACTAACAGTTGAAATTCTTCATCATTTAGATGCAAAGTGTTTTCTTTAGACTGAACACTGATGAAACATTGAACATTCTATTTCTAGACAAATTGTTTATAAACTTACTCCGCAGTATAACCCTTAATTTCAAGAGAGCACTAATGCTTAAAAATTCAAGCTTAAACTAAACATTTTCTAATGCATGCATAAACCTTTATCGTAGGTAAAGTTAACTGATGTTTTACATTGATTTTTAAATATTAATTTACACATATTATATTTTGACCGACAAACATAAAATGTGTTTATCATAGTTAGATGTCCATGTATATATTTGACATTATACATTGCTCCCATCACGTTTGTTTGTACTGAACATGCGTGTGCAGTTATAGTTTTGTTGTTTCGTATCACGGTCGATGTGACCCGCTGGTTGCCGATCTGCATCAAAGCAATACTACTCAGTAAGTACCGCACAATGAGGCTATTTGTTATTATAGCCTTTTTTCAAACGAATTCTTTTTTACTATACATGATCATACATAGCCTCAAATGGAAAATTAAGACCGCCCTTAGCAATAATATTGGTTTGCAAAATACCACCGGCAAAGTAAAAAAAAAATATAGCTACAAACGACACAAACTTACTGTAAAGTGAAAATGTGCATTTGATATATACCAGTGCTGCTGGAACTTTGCTACAAAACAAGAACAAACTCGTTTCTTTTTTGAGAATCGATCGACCTGTTCTGTCAGTTTAAGGCAAATGCCAACGCACGTACGATAAACAGACTTACGAGTTATTGTAGCTCACTTATAACGATAACTTGACTATGCAGACTACAAATCCGGTATGAGGCTTTCGGTTGGCTCTGTTTTTATTCTATAAAAAAATATTTAGTATAAGAATATACAATACATAAAAAGTAAAGAAAGCTCAATATGTTTTATTCTTTACAAAATGGGACTGCCCCAGATTATCTCTGCGATTTAATGCCCCCACTTGTTGGTCAAATAGCTGATTATGATTTGCTAAATAGTAACAATTATGCAGTACCACGTTATAGATGTAACTAGAAAATCCTTTTTTCATCTACTACTTTTATATGAAATAGCCTAGGTTGTGTAAACCCCGACATACGGACTTCCCGAAATATAAAAATATTCAAACGAAAGATGTAAACTAAATTAATACAGCCACCATCCTACTTTAGTTGTGGTGATAGAAGACTTAATATTATTCATACACGTTTGGTCATTGTTCTCTATTCTTTATATTTTTTGTCCATGATTCTCTATTCCTTATATTTTACCACCCTTTTATTAATATTCAAAAAATAGTGAATACAATCCTCAACAGGATGGCCATAGTTGTGTGCGGGATTGGGTTTAGTTTAAACACGGTGCAGATCTGCATTTAAAGAACTGCAAATATTTCTCAAAGAGATTCACTTGACCCCCATCCCGCAGACCCTCTTGAGTTGCTTCAAAATATTATAGTTATACAAAGTCGTAATTGTTTACTTGCAAGAAAATTTAAGTTTTCAAATTACAAGATTTCTGATCCATATGATCTGGGACTAATACATTTATATATTGGTTACATGGTTCCAGATATACTAAGGCAGTCACTCTTCTAGTTTTTTAAACCCCAAAAATTACATTTAATAGATAAGTTTAGGTTTTTTTGTTTACATTTCGTTTGAATACATAAATAGATAATGATTGAATGAAAAAGATACATAAATTACAATAAAATCGAGCATTTATTGTGCATTTTTACACATTTAAAATGTTTTAGTTTGTAATACGGATCCACGCATCCGGCAAGTTTTGTGTTTTACAATTCTATCAAGAAAAGGTAACTCTGTTAAACGTCATTTCCTGTGTTGTCAAACTTGCCAAATAGCAGTGTCCGTGATTCATGTGACATTTATAGTATTTTACCAAATCAGAATGACCCTGCTACTATTTTGAGTTGTTTGTTTATAACTTAACAGCATTTTTGAAAAGGAGATTTCGATTTCTGTTAAAAGAAATCATAGTTTTATGACAAAATATTGGAACTTATTTTGTGCAACATATTTTGTCTTTTGACTTGAAAAATCTGAGAAATTCAAATATTTATTTGAAATAATAGGTACAGTGTAGATACAGTAAGTGTAAGTTTATTACATTAGTTGGAAACAAAAGTACAGTAGTTCAAAACTAATGAACAACAGATGACAAAATTCTAAACAAAGTCTACATGTAAAAAATTTGTATGTACAGATAAATATATTCAGATTACTAAAGTCCAGCATGCGAGATAGAATATTGGTCTGTTGCGGCAAAAAGATGTTTTTTTTCTACATAAACCATCATTTTTTACAGTCTATCTGTCCAATGTCCTGTTCAGAAAAACTATATCTGCTAATGCTATATGTCGTGTATGTGTCAATACCGCTTTGGTAGTTTTGGGGTTGGACCATTGCCAGTTCAAACCAAAAAGAGACTTCAAAACAATGGTTGCTTCTTTACATCCAATCACAAGGCATTTAAGCTTGAGACCAAGCATTTCCTGTTAGGCCAATTAAAATTAATTGATAGATTTTCATGCCTGCCTGTCCCTCTAAAATCGTCCTTCCCCGATTTTGTTTATTTATAAAAATTTACAATTGTCCAGATTTTGTTCATTTCTGTTACTGGTAAGCGCCAATAATTTCCTTTCATTCATTACTTCCTGTTGCCAATTTTGGTTTTCATATTTCTTCGAGTAATTTTACCAAAATGATTAAGTCGACATATTCTGCTGCTCTATGATGACAACATTATCTTCAGTCTGTGCCAAATGCTGTTGGTGAGATGGTCCTGACCGATGAAATAGAGGCAGGTCCACCAAATTGTATGTCCAGTGTTTTCACCGTCTTGGTTCTATGACTTATTATTGTATTTTGATATGCGTACCCACAGATCGATAGAAATGAAAACTTTTGGGTAAAATGTTTACTCTGAAGTATGTTCAAAGGGCTATCCCCGGTAAGGCCTTGAAACGCAACATGACTGAAATGCAATTTTTACCATGAATATCATCCTAAAACAACACAGTATATTTAAAAACATAAACAACATAATAAGCTAAATTAATCGATTTTTTTTCGGACAGACAAAAAATCAGGTAGGTCAGACAAAACCTACAACACTGTCTGATTGAATGTCAGACAGAAAACAAAAGAGTTTGGCACAGACTGTATCTTCTGAGAATAAAGATTGATTACGAGGAGGGTAGGAAATATTCAGGTTACGAGTAATAGACGGTGTCCAAGAACGCAAATCTTGGTATGTCATAAATTTCAGACAGTGATTAGAAAACTATGGATTTTTTATTTACACACTGACTTTGTGTCAGGAAATTTAGACTGAATGTTATCCAAAGCACAAGAATCGTGGAACACTTTGGTACAAAGCACCAACTTGTGTGATTTATGACCGTATATTGGTTACAAAAAGTTGGCTACAAACAAAATGTATTATAACATGCCCTTAGATGTACCCCAAGGCTGTAGGTTTTTTTTTTAAAACAGCAAACACCCTCTGTCCCCAGCCCTCAATAGAGACATTAGACAACTTCTTCTTTTTGGTTAAGTTCATGCTTTACATTGTTATTATATATATACCTTGCATAAGATCTTAAAGTATCAACCCCAGTATTTTCAACTCAGTTTGAGTTTTCATTTCACTCTGTACTCATAATACATGTACTTGTGTTGCATGCCGATGCATATGCTTCATTGTATGGGCACTACAAACCATAGCTTAGAAAGCAAAATAAATTTGATGTACCGGTAGGTAGTCTAAAAGAGGCGTTTCTCCACGTTTGTGCTATTTACTAAAAAAAGGTTTCTAAAGCGGTAATTACATGTAGAACAGTGGTTGTCAATCAGAAATATTTTTTTAAGAATTCGAAAAAATATGTAGAATTCCTTATATATACATGATAAAAGCTTATTATTACCCTTGCATATGAAGAACACGTCACAAAAGGGTTTCAGAGGAAATAAAAAATTAAAAAAAATAAATCCTCCCACCCGCCCCATTTTATAAAAAATTTGGATGAAAATCTACTGATTAGGTTTAGTTGGCCTTATCAATTGACTTGCATTGCATCTCCTAAACATGGAGATAAATTGTTCAAGACTTTCATGATCATGATCTGCAGGTATGGTCTGTCAACTGAAGACTTGTTTCTATACATGTACATTTTAAATATAGTTTGTCTTTTATTTTCCATAATTTTCCTTGACCAGACCATGTGATACTCTAATACACCTAATATAATTCTTTGTTAAGAAACAATCCACGACCTTGGCAAGCTTCAATGTTACATGTACAATTATATGTAACATCAGAGTGAATTTGTTATTCACATTTGTTAGGTACATATACATGTTATTATACTATAAAAATGAAAGCAGCTGTCTAGCTGTAAAAATATATCTACATTTTTATACGACTGCAAAAAAAATTTGCAGTCGTATATTGGTATGACGTTGGCGGCGGCATCGTCGTCATCCGAAGACACATTAGTTTTCCCACTCTAACTTTAGTTAAAGTGAATGGATCTCTATGAAATTTTACCATAAGGTTCAATACCACAAAAAGAAGGTGGGGATTGATTTTGGGGGTTATGGTACCAACAGTTAAGGAATTAGGGGCCAAAAATAAGCATTTTTGTAACTTCCAGACATTACTTGTGTGTTAGTGTATGGATCTCTCTGACATTGTACCACAAGGTTCCATATCACTAAGGGAATGCTGGGATTGATTTTGGGGGTAATTGCCTCCAAATTTTAGGAATTAGGGGCCAAAAAGGGGCAAAAAACAAGCATTTTTCTAGTTTCATGACAATAACTTGTGTGTAAGTGTATGGATCTCTCTGACATTGTACCACAATGTTCCATATCACAAAGGGAATGCTGGGATTGATTTTGGGGGTAATTGCCTCCAAATTTTAGGAATTAGGGGCCAAAAAGGGGCAAAAAGCAAGCATTTTTCTAGTTTCATGACAATAACTTGTGTGTAAGTGTATGGATCTTTATGAAATTGTACTACAAGGTTCCATATCACAAAGGGAAAGCTGGAATTGAGTTTGGGGGTAATTGCCCAAAACGTTTAGGAATTAGGGGCCAAAAATAAGCATTTTTCTAGTTTCCAGACAATAACTTGAGTTCAAGTGTATGGATCTCTCTGAAATTGTACTGCAAGGTACCATACCACAAAGGGAAGGCTGGGATTGATTTTTGGGGTAAGTGCCACAAAATTTGAGGAATTAGGGGCCATAAAGGGTTAAAAAAACAAGCATTTTTCTAGTTTCAGGACAATAACTTGTGTGTAAGTGTATGGATCTTTATGAAATTGTACTGCAAGGTTCCATATCACAAAGAGAAAGCTGGGTTTGAGTTTGGGGGTAATTGCCCTAAACATTTAGGAATTTGGGGCCAAAAAACAAGCATTTTTCTAGTTTCCAGACAATAACTTGTGTTCAAGTGTATGGATCTCTCTAAAATTGTACTGCAAGGTACCATACCACAAAGGGAAGACTGGGATTGAGTTTGGGGGTGATGAATCATAAGGGGGTTCAAAAAATTTGGGGGGGGGGGGGATTTTTTTTTCATTTTTTTTCTTTAAAATTTTCCATTTTAAATTGGTTATTTCTGATTTATATATAAAAGCAAATAATAATGATATGGTTTGAAAAGGTAAATTAAAAAATTTTAAGTTCTTAGACCACATTCATTCTGTGTCAGAAACCTATGCTGTGTCAAATATTTAATTACAATCCAAATTCAGTGCTGTATCAAGCTTGAATGTTGTGTCCATACTTGCCCCAACTGTTCAGGGTTCGACCTCTGCGGTCGTATCAAGCTGCGCCCCAGCGGAGCATTTTATTGTATATTGGTATCAGGTTGTCGTCGTCAGAAGACAGATGTTTTCCGGATAAAAACTTTAGTATAAGTGAATAGAAATCAAAATTTTAACACAAGGTTTATAACCACTGAAGGAAGGTTGGGATTGATTTTGGGGGTTATGGTCCCAACTGTTTAGGAATGAGGGGCCAAAAAAAAGTGGGCCCAAATAAGCATTTTTGTAGTTTCCAGACAATAACTTGTGTTAAAGTGTATGAATCTCTCTGAAATTATACCACAAGTATACTTCAAAGGGATGATTAGGATTGACTTTGGGGGGTTATGGCTCAAACCATTTAGGAATTAGGGGCAAAAAAAGGGGAAAAACAAGGGTTTTTCTGGTTAAAGGACAATTGGGACTATTTAAAAGCAGTGTAAGGGAGGTAATCCAAATCAAAATCAATTTAAATAACAATGTTTGATTACCTCCCTTACACTGCTTGTAAATTATGTATTAAGAAATGATGATTGTCTGAAATACTGACCATAACTTGAGGGAAAGAATTATTTTTTTGAATGAGGGAAAAGGGAGAGGTGAAAAAAATTGGAGGGGGACAATTTTTCTCATTTCAGATTTCAGAAATTAAAAGAAAATTTCTTTGAATATTTTTTTATGGGGGGGTTATATTCAACAGCATAGTGTATTGCACAAACACAAAAAAACAGGTTAAATTTTTTTTTTTGGAGTGGGGGGTCAATTTGCATAGTGTATTGCACAAAAGCAAAAAATTGAATATAAATTCAAATCATTTAACCATTTTGACTACAGTTATTCTGTGTCAGAAACCTATTATGTGTCAAAAATTTAATTATAATCCAAATTCAGACCTGTATCAAGCGTGAATATTGTGTCCATTTTGGCCCCAACTTTTCAGGGTTGGACATCTGCGGTCGTATCCAGCTGCGCTCAGTGAAGCATTTTATTTAATACTATTGTAAGTACATGTGTATTTGCATGAAATCACATAATTAGTACAGGTCTGATTTAAAGGACCAATTACAAATATAAAATGTATATGAAGAGAACATATCCTTTTATCAATACTACACATGTACAGTAAATTTCCCTACAAAGTTGAGTACAAACCTATATTTTAACAAATATACTTGATAAATAAATTGACAATTTTTCAGAAAAAATATCTAGAACAATGAAGCTTTATTGTATAGAAGTGCTATTCAAAGATTCCAATGGCAAAGTTAGGCTTCTTGCTGCTACACATGACCTTCAATCTTTTGGATATTTTCAAAGGTCAAGGTAAGTGAATTAGATATCAGTCAGTTTATTTTAATTCTCACTACATCATGCCAATTTTTATTAAGTAGGATAACCTGTACATTCCTGTTCTCCAAAGTTTCATAAAATTTAGTTACTTGAAATTTGAAGGAAGAATTTCATATATAAATATTGTACTAAAATTTTATTTTACTAGTTAGCATTCATGGAACCATAAACATGATGAAAACCCCAGGAAAATTTCTCCCCCAAGTAATAGTAAAGAAGACAGGAAAACACAAGAATATCATAATAAAAACAAGATTGCTTTAGACTTGGTTATTTTCAAAAGTTCATAATTTTTTTTGAATTACTGCACAATCTGTATAAAGTTGTTTTATTTTTTATATGGTAGGAGAGAAGTTCAGAGGGATGAAATGAGTGTAATATATAAAAAGATGGTACATGCATTAAATGCAACCTTAATAAAAGTAATCAAGATACCTTTGTTTTCTATTGTTAATAACTGATGCTACTGTATCTTTTGAAATATACAGTAAACATATTGTTAATTCATTGAATCTGTCTTAGTCATGGTCATGTTTACATTGTGCAATTCTCACGGTCATTGCTAAGATTAATTAATGTGATAATGTTACATGTACATTGTTGTTACAATTATTTAGTGTGTGTCTTTTTTAGTGTCAAAGAGTTTATGGATTTCACCAGTAAAATCATTGTAGAAAGGACAGCAATTTGTTCAAGGTCATCTGTCAAAGAACAAGGTAAACTCTAGATTCTGGGCATTAAAACATTACAGTTCACCATAAACATATTAAAAATGTAAACATTAAAAACAGCATATACATGTAGAAATGTAACCATGAACTTCTGTATCAACTTGCTAATATTGGTCTAGTGAAAAGAAATCACCTTTTTGGTATTCAATTCAACACAGAGATAGCACCTGCCTCCAAAAATGCAATCAAAACCCTATGGTACTGACTTGATATAGAAATAAGAAAATGTGGTATGATTACCAATGAAAAAACTCTCCACAAGAGACCAAATGACACTGAAATTAACAACTATAGGTCACCATACCACCTTCAACAATGAGCAAAACCCATACCGCATAGTCAGCTCTAAAAGGCCCCAATATGACAAATGTAAAACAATTCAAACGACAAAACCAATGGCAGAATTTATGTACAAAACAATGAACAAAAAACAAATATGATACGCAGCAACAATCGACAACCACTGAATTACAGGCTCTTGACCTGGGACACGCATATACAGAATGTGGCAGGGTTAAACTAGCTTGAAGGTCCATAACCTGGGACAGTGGTGTAACAGTAGAAAATAAGAACAAACTATAAAAATCAGTTGAAAAAGGCTTAACCCATCAGATGAATACAAATAGAAATACATCTAGCAAAAATACAGAGTGGACTTGGCAGGGTACTTATACATCCCCACAACAAAAAGACACTAAGTACAGATCTGAGAGTTACAGTTACTGACAGCTAGTTCAAAGCCAATAACGACTACTAAAAAAAATCATGCATCTAAGACTAAAATATCAATCAGTACACATCCAACATCCAATGGATTTAGTGGAAAGACGTCATTAACAGTCAGAGTAAAACATGACCTTGTGCAATGCCAAGATACAGGTATTTCTATGTCTTCCAAGGTTGAAGACTACCTTTGATACTTCAAACATAATAGTGCAGTGAAGTGATCATTATTTAGATCCTATCCAGTCAATGTCGTGCAATTTATTGATGATATGTTATACTTTGATATTTAAGTTACAATATGATGTGTATTTGAATTACCATACTTGTCATGAAAACATTTTCACTTTAAAAATTACATAAGTAATGCATGGTGTATGCATCTGTTATTATAAAAATACGTTCAACAACAAATGCACAATCATGAACACAGGAAGATAACTCCCAACTCAAATTTTTAACTTGCCTGTCAAAATACAATTCAATGTTTTATTTAAAAATTAACAAAATTGCAAAATGAAAGCAATCTTAACTATTCAGTGCTCACAAGCATTTCGATTTTATTTGCATTTGAAGATATATTAAAAATTTAAAAAAAAACATGGACAGATTTTGGTGTTCATCAATGAATATTGTTTCTTCTTTTCAGAATACATATGTCATGTGTATGTTAGATCTGATTCACTGGCTGGTGTTGTAATAGGTGACCATGAATACCCAAACAGGGTGGCTCATACTTTATTAAATAAGGTAAATGTTTGTTTAAGCCTTTCAGTAGTGGAAGCAGTATACTTTGAATTAACTATTTTGTAACAAACTTTTTTTCTCTCATCAAGATTTGAATCCGTTAAACATAAAGGAATTTCTGATATGGGTTAAACTTCTGCCAGACCAGATATGTCGAAGCAAAAAAACATGGCAAATATAAGTCAAAATACAGAAATTACCAATTTGTTTTTAGTATAAATACTAAAAGCATTGAGCAAAAAAATTCATTGCAACAAAACTTTTGTATAGGGACAGTAAATATTATCTTAAATGAAATGTTGGTCGAGGTCAATGAAACATCAATGCAAAAAAGAAAAAAAAAACCCAAAAAAACGAAATTTTTAACAATGGACAATTGTTTGTGCCATATATTTCAAGTTCTAAATCACCTTAAGTATTGATTGAAATAAGAGACTTACTACCAATGATCTGACAGATGCATATGGCTATTTTTATTCAATTTTTTTTAAAGGTAAGTTAAAAATGATTCTAACAATTCAAACATACCAGTCTTATAATTTGGTACGGCTGACATGCATTTTGTCTACATAAGACTTATCAGTAGTGCTTTATTCAAAACAGATGGATGGCCAAATCAAATAGGAAGTTGAGCATTTAAGACCAAAAATTCCAAAAAATTGTGCCAAATACGGCTGATGCAATCTATTCCAGGGGGTAGAAAAACCTTAGAGTGTTGAATAATTCAGCGTTCAAAGTCTGATATCTTAATTCATTTGTATTTTAAAGTTTACTTTCATTGTACTATTTTGCCATTGTATAAGAACTAGACATGTTCAATATTTCAATTTAAATGAAAAATTTTTGTTTTTTTTTAAATTTTTATATAATACCCCGGTATTTGATTAAATCTGCTATTTTTATGTTGTATTGAAATTGTATGAATTCTTTCAATCATTGATAATGTCTTGGTATTTGTTTCAGGTTTTAGATGATTTTACAAATAAAGGGCCAAAGGCACAGTGGTCTATAAGTAATCCTGGGTATGTCATGATCTAACCAATACACCCCTTTTTTATACGACCGCAAAAAAAATTTGCGGTTGAATATTGGTATGACGTTGGCGTTGTCGTCGTCCAAAGACACATTGGTTTTCACACTCTAACTTTAGTTTAAGTGAACGGATCTCTATGAAATTTTACCATAAGGTTCAATACCACAAAAGGAAGGTTGGGATTGATTTTGAGGGTTATGGTACTAACAGTTAAGGAATAAGGGGCCAAAAAGGGGCAAAAAATAAGCATTTTTGTAACTTCCAGACATAACTTGTGTGTTAGTGTATGGATCTCTCTGACATTGTACCACAAGGTTCCATATCACAAAGGGAATGCTGGGATTGACTTTGGGGGTAATTGCCTCAAAATTTTAGGAATTAGGGGCCAAAAAAGGGGCAAAAAACAAGTATTTTTCTAGTTTCCAGACAATAACTTGTGTTCAAGTGTATGGATCTCTCTGAAATTGTACTGCAAGGTACCATACCTCAAAGGGAAGGCTGGGATTGAATTTGGGGGTGATGAATCATTAGGGGGTTCAAAAAATTTGGGGGAGGGTTTTTTTTTTTTTCTTTAAAATTTTCCATTTTAAATTGGTTATTTCTGATTTATATATAAAAGCAAATAATAATGATGTGGTTTGAATAGGTAAATTAAAAATTTTTAAGTTCTTAGACGACATTCATTCTGTGTCAGAAACCTATGCTGTGTCAAATATTTAATCACAATCCAAATTCAGTGCTGTATCAAGCTTGAATGTTGTGTCCATACTTGCCCCAACTGTTCAGGGTTCGACCTCTGCGGTCGTATCAAGATGCGCCCAGCGGAGCATTTTATTGATGAAATGTTAACATGCTCAGAATCAGAAACTGTTCAAAAATTTTTTAGTGCATTTTTTATTGCGAATTTTGAGCTATTGACAAAAAATGTGTTTGTTTAATCTACATTGGCTAGAGGTATAGGGGGAGGGTTGAGATCTCACTAAACATGTTTAACCCTGCCGCATTTTTGCGTCTGTCCCGAGTCAGGAGCCTCTGGCCTTTGTTAGTCTTGTATGGTTTTTAATTTTAGTTCATTTATATGTTTAGGAGTTTAGTATGACGTCCATTTTCACGGAACTAGTACCGGTACACATTTTTGTTTAGGGGCCAGCTGAAGTCCGCCTCCGGGTGCGGGATTTTCTCGCTGTGTTGAAGACCCATTGGTGGCCTTCGGCTGTGTTTTTTACTCTTTGGTCGGGTTGTTGTCTCTTTGACACATTCCTCATTTCCATTCTCTATTTTATTGATTAATTATTGTGATTTCAGGAAATGCTGCATTCAAGTAATGCTATCAAAATTAAGTCTACAAGTTTTGATTTATTGTGAAACATATCCTATCACAATTTTCATAATAATAAAAAACATTGGAAACATTTCTGAATTTACATAACCTTTTGAATACAGATTTGAATGGGTTATTTGTTTATTTTTATGGAAAAAATGTTGCAATTTACACCTCTTGACTTTTTCACATGCTTACATATCTTTGACATGCTTTATTCCTGTATTATACAGATGTAATTGAATACTATCTGAGGTGCTTAAATTGCAGTATGGTAAAGGTCATTAAGAATTCGAAACACCTCTAAATTAAAATTTGAACTATAAATTGATGATAAATTGAATATTAAAATATCAATTTTCAAGGGTATAGTAAAATACAAATAGAATAAACCTGACAACACTGATTATAGAAAAAGTTCATGTGTAGTTGCATAATGCTTTATAGAAATTACATCACATTTAAGAAGTTAAATGATATTTTATATGGTCTTACACAGTATCATACATGAATAGTAAAAAACAATAATGGGATTTAAATGATGTATTGTCATAGTAAAAAATGTTAATATATCTGAAGACTTTTTCTTTGCACAAACAAATTTTCTAATTACCGGTAAACAAAACTTTTAACCATAGAGGTAGAGAAATTTTTATTGTGGTAAATGAAGAGACTTAAGTTTCTCAAAAATTTTCCATTCTTTAAATAAAATTTATGAGTGTTTTATCAAGATTCATTTTTATTTGTAAATTTTTTAATTACAACAGAGATATACCATTTAAAGAGTTAGATGAATATTTATCAAAGTACCAGGATCCTAAATCGGCTGATGCCATGACTAAAATACAGTCAGAACTAGATGAGACAAAGATTATACTGGTATGTATTGGAAGTTTTTACTTCTTTGTTCTGTTTAGGTAGAGTGAAGGCAATATTCTTAAATTTATTTACTCAGATTAATAAATATGCAATTGACAATTTTGTTTTTACTAGCCTAGAATAACCATTAACATTATATTTTGTATTTGTCACTTGGTGATTAAAGAAAGACAAAACAATCCAAACATTTCTTCTAGGATATTTCATTTTAATGAGATTTCAGTTTGGGCAGTTAGAGAGAATAGCTAAACTTCTAATTTCCTTATGTAAAGGTATCGTGATCAAAATGGCCTACAGTGTTTGTTAAAGTTCGTACCCAACACAACAAAAAACCATACATACCAAGTTTAAGGGAAAATTATTGTGCCCTTTGTTGTACTGGCCTTTATCTTTCTCCTGCCCATTTTTGTCTCACCTGGTCAGTTTGATAGGATCTACTTGTGATAGATCAATGATATTTTGTATGAAGTTGCATTAGTATCAGTACATATCAGTTTGACGACTATTTCGAGGCCCTTCCCCATAAGACATGGTCCAGTGACTTTGAATTAATGAGTAATTTTCAATGTTAAGTTTTCTGCTTAAGTTAGTTTGATAGGATCTACTTGTGATAGATCAATGATATTTTGTATGAAGTCGCATTACTACCAGTACATATCAGTTTGAAGACTATTTTGAGGCCCTGCCCCCTAGGACATGGTCCAGTAACTTTTAATTAATTAGCAATTTTCAATGTTAAGTTTTCTGCTTAAGTTAGTTTGATAGTATCTATTTGTGATAGATCAATGATATTTTGTAAGAAGTTGCATTGCTATCAGTTTGATGACTATTTTGAGGCCTTACTCCCTAGGTCATGGTCCAGTCACTGAATTAATTAGCAATTTTCGATTTTAAATTTTTCTGCATAAGTCAGGTTGATAAGAACTACTTGTGATAGATCAACGATATTTTGTATAAAGTTGCATTTAACAGTGGGGGCTTCAGGGGGGGGAGGGGGGGGGGGGGAGGGGCTTGGAATCCCCTCTTTTTAGCTCAATGGGGCCCGAAGGACCCCATGTGAGCTTATGCCATCACTTGGCGTCCGTCGTCGTCCGTTGTCTGTCGTCGTCTGTTGTCGTAGTCTGTCATCGTAAACTATTTCAAAAATCTTCTCCACTGAAACTACTGGGCCAAATACCTTCAAACTTTAACTAAATGTTCCTTAGGGTATCTAGTTTATAAATTGTATCCGAAGTTTTGATCCATCGACAAACATGGCCGCCATGGCTAAAAATAGAACATAGGGGTCAAATGCAGTTTTTGGCTTATATCTCAAAAACTAAATCTTTTAGAGCAAATGTGACATGGCGTAAAATTGTTTAATTGGTCAAGATCTATCGGCCCTGAAATTATCAGATGAATCGAACAACCCATAGTTGGGTTACTGCCACCAAATTAGCAGTTTAAACAAAATTTTGCAGTTTTTTGTTATTATTTTGAATATTATTATAGATATATATAAACTGTAAGCAGCAATAATGTTCAGCAAAGTAAGATCTACAAAAAAGTTAATATGACCAAAATTGTCAATTGACCCCTTAAGGAGTTATTGCCTTTAAAGACAATTTTACACAAATTGTTCATCAAGTTTGCTATCTTGTTTTTGACGATCAATACTTTTGAATGGGGACATATGGTTGGAAACCCCTTATAAAAATGGCTGGATCTGCCCCTGCATTACTATCAGTACATATCAGTTTAACGACTATTTTGGGCATGGTCCAGTGACTGTGAATTACGGTAATTAGCAATTTTCAATGTTAAGTTTTTATGCTTAAGTTATATTGATAGGAACTACTTACAATAAACAACAATATTTTCTATAAAGTTACATTACTGTCTGTACATCTCAGTTTGTCTACCATTTTTAGGCCCTGTCCACTAGATCATGGTCCAATGACTGAATTAATAAACAATGTTAATGTCCATCAGATTGTCTTTTTCTGAATTTTATGCCAATGGGCGAGACATCTCAGATCTCTGTGTCAACAGTTTATTAAAGTTTTTATTGAAGAATTGTGAAATGACTATGATTCTAGAGCTGCATAAACTTTGAAAATAGAGGATATATGATCCCCCTCTTAACCCCTTAATTAGGTGACACACAAATCAATCCATGTTGTCTCGCCTGTGAGGATAGTTGCATAATGCCAGACAAAGGGATAACAATCCAGTGTTGGCAACGGAGTCAGCTATTTGTATAAAGCTTGATATTTCAGGGGGTATAAGACCTGGATGAATCATATCTTGCATACAGATGTGTAAGGTTACAAATTATTTCCATTGTCCTTGACCTCATTCTCATAGGATAACTTTATTTGGTAGATGGGATCCTTGCAAGGTCTACAGGTCTGTCAGACAGGGTTCACTTGACCTTGATCTCATTTCATGGATCAGTGATCAAAGTTAAGTTTTCATGGTCAAGTCTGTTTCTCAGATACTATAAGGAGTAGATCAAATATATTTGGTGTATGGAATGATTGTAAGGTCTATATGTCTGTCTGGCATGTTTCATTAGACCCTGACCTCATTTTCATGGTTCATTGGTCAATGGTAAGTTTTTGTGTTTTAGTCTGTTTCATAGATTCTATAAGCAATAGGTTAACTATATTTGGTGTATGGAATGATTGTAAGGCATACAGGACAGGCTGACGGGGTTTGTAAAATGTTTGATAATGTTAATTTTATGTAATACTCGTTGTATGACCTTTTTCTCTTTGACTTTTAATATAAATTCAATCATGATTACTTAAGAAGGCATGTAGCATTTCATTCTTGTTTGAAGAAGGAACTAACAGAGGCTAAAATTTGTATGTAAAATTTGATTGACAAAACCTGCTTTACAGCTAAGCTAAGACATTCTTTAAAAGGTTGAATAAATACATATATATGTCAGATACTTTTTAAATTTGTTTTTCCAGCATAACACAATAGAAGCTGTTTTAGATAGACATGAAAAATTGGATAATCTGATAGAAAAATCTGATGGATTAAGTATGCAGTCCAAAGCATTTTATAAAACGGTAAGTATTTTTTTTTTTAAGTGCAGAGAGTAAAATAAAGTGCACAACACATTATGTTCACTTTGATCTGATATTTTTTGCTATGGTGTAACAATCTTTTTTTTCTTACATTGATTTTCATAGTTTTTATACGCCCGTCAATTTTTGGTATTATGGTATACAAATGTCCGGTGTCCTTCCGTCTGTCTGTCCGGCGTAAACATGTCGCACCGTAACTTGAGAATGACTTATCCAAATTTCATGAAACTTAATATAGTTGTTTCTTATGATGGTCAAACGATCTGTATACTTTTTGGTGAAAATAAGATAAAAACTTTTTGAGTTACGGGACTTAGTAACTAAAACAGGTGTGTGTTTTTTTTCACATGTCGCGCCGTATCTCAAAAACAATTTATGATTATTGCTTAAAACTTTACACACTTCTTAGTTATATTAATCTTCAGATCTGTATACTTTTTGGTGATGATTCAAAATTTTATTTTAGAGATATTGAGTATTTTGTTAAAAAAGGGGGAGGGGTTTTTCACATGTCGCGCCGTATCTCAAAAACAGTTTATGATTATTGCTTAAAACTTTACACACTTCTTTGTTATATTAACCTTAAGATCTGTATACTTTTTGGTGAGGATTCAAAATTTTATTTTTGAGTTATTGAGTATTTTGTAAAAAAAAGGGGGAGGGGTTTTTCACATGTCTCGCCGTATTTCAAAAACGATATAAGATTATTGCTTAAAATTTTACACACTTCTTAGTTATATTAATCTAAAGATCTGTATACTTTTTGGTTTTGATTCAAAATTTTATTTTAGAGATATTGAGTTTTTTGTTAAAAAAAAAGGGGGTTTTCGCATGTCACGCCGTATGTCAGAAACTATTTATGCTTATTGCATAAAAATTCACACACAAGATGACGGGTGTATCATGCGCTCATGGCGCAGCTGTTTATTATGGATAAGTATAACCACAACGATTGACAAATTATTGCAGTTACTGATTTTTAGTTTAATGTATGAAACAAGGTGACTGTTAAGGCAGGTTTATTTTTGAGATATTGATTTTTTTTTTTTCAAAAGGGGGGTTTTCACATGTCGCGCCGTATCTCAAAAACGATTTATGATTATTGCTTAAAATTTTGCACACTTCTTAGTTATATTAATCTAAAGATCTGTATACTTTTTGGTTTTGATTCAAAATTTTATTTTAGAGATATTGAGTTTTTTGTAAAAAAAAAAGGGGGTTTTCGCATGTCACGCCTTATGTCAGAAACTATTTATGCTTATTGCATAAAAATTCACACACAAGACGACGGGTGTATCATGCGCTCATGGCGCAGCTGTTTATTATGGATAAGTATAACCACATCGATTGACAAATTATTGCAGTTACTGATTTTAGTTTAATGTATGAAACAAGGTGACTGTTAAGGCAGGTTTGACTGTACTGTCATTGGCTAGTACTGGGGGGAAAATTAATTTGATCTTTTTTCAAGGCATTACTTATTTGTTATTTGTTTATATGTTCATTTTGTAATTTTAGGCAAAGAAGACAAATTCTTGTTGTGTTATATTATGATGTGATTCTGTAATATATACCAGACGTCTCTTCATGGATTGTAAGTGTACCAAGAAACAGTTTTAAAGAATATACGATAACAGTTTAATGTCAAAAATATTTTTATCCATTAACACATACCATGTTGTAGAGACAGTAGAAATTTAACATTTCTTATAAGACCACCAACCTACCTACCTTCCTCAGTTGAAGTTTTGTTTCCATTTGGCAATAATACAAGATTTTTCAATGTATCAAAATATGGGAAAAATAATCATTTTGCATATAGAAAATGTTTGAAATATACTGGTCCATTTTATTATAATAACAAACATAGTTACACTTATTGTTGTCACATTACATCTTTGTCCCAAAAATATATGTAAAAAGAAAAATATGGTCCAGTGTTGAAATTGTATCAAATGATATGGACATCATGTGAACACCATTTGCTCTTTCCTTATATTTCACACAAAATATTGATTTTATAGGACTTTATTTTTTATATGACCAAAAAATTTGCGGTTGTATATTGGTATCACGTCGTCGTCTGCGTTATCCGAAGACATTTGGTTTCCGGACAATAACTTAAGTATATGTAAATAGAAATCTATGAAATTTAAACACATGGTTTATAACCACAAAAGGATTTTGGGGGTTATGGTCCTAACAGTTAAGGGATTAGGGGCCAAAAAGGGGCCCAAATAAACATTTTTCTAGTTTCCAGACAATGACTTGTGGAAAGGTGTATGGATCTCTCTGAAATTAGACCACAAGTTTCCATGAAATTTAAACACAAGGTTTATAACCATTAAAGGATTTTGGGGGTTATGGTCCTAACAGTTTAGGAATTAGGGGCCAAAAAAGGGCCCAAATAATTATTTTTCTAGATTCCAGACAATGACTTGTGGAAAGGTGTATGGATCTCTCTGAAATTAGACCACAAGTTTCCATACCGCAACGGGATGGTAAGAATTGGCTTTGGGGGGTTATGGCTCAAACCGTTTAGGAATAAGGGGCAAAAAAGGGGGAAAAACAAGGGTTTCCTGGTTAATGGACAATTACTTAAAAGTACAATGTTATGTTTGGATTACCTCCATTACACTGCTTTTAAATTATGTATAAAGAAATGTTGTATTGTCTTGAGGTGATTAGCTGTCAATTTGCAACAGCATAGTGTATTGCACAAAAGCAAAAAATTGAATATAAATTCAAATCATATAACCAATTCTAAGTTATTCTGTGTCAGAAACCTATAATGTGTCAAATATTTAATTACAATCCAAATTCAGACCTGTATCAAGCACGAATATTGTGTCCATATTTGCCCCAACTGTTCAGGGTTGGACCTCTGCAGTCGTATCCTGCTGCGCTTGGCGAAGCAATTTATTTATTTTTAATAGCACATTATCCTGAACTGAAATAGCTGGCTAGAAATAGAACCAAAATTTTACATTTATTTTACTGAAAGTATCCCCAAACAACCTTATTAAAATGAAATACTGGTGATAAAGTTTTAATTTATACTTATTGTGCTATCATATAAGTAACAGATTCCCAAAGTATTTTACATTATAAAAATTTTTTATGACATTGTATTTAATGTGCACTTGTGATTTTTCAATGGTGCATTATATGTTGTGAGATTATAATTGTACATATATAATAACAGGTGGGTAATTAGTCTGCTCTTTATGTTGTCAGTAAAAATGAAATGAGCAACTTGAGAGGTCACTTTCACATATATCTATTTTTCCATTCCTTTTGATTTATATTGCAAAAAACTTTTAATTTCATGCTGTTCAAGTATCTACCTGTGCTATATTGTGACAAAAATTTTCATGTGAAAATTTCTGTAAAAATTATATAATCTTGTTGAATATGAATGTCATATAATAGATTCATGTATATTTAGAATCATGTATTTTCTTCTGATATGAAGGAAAAATGTTAAAAAGACTACTTATTTTACCAGTCTGTTGAATATAAATATTTTATGGCATTCATTAAGTACATTTATTTTTATATTATTAAGAAATATCAGTAAGTTAATTTATATGCTGTTTAAAAAGTTTTAAGTTTTTTTTTATGCCCCACATACGATAGTAGAGGGGCATTATGTTTTTTCGGTCTGTGCGTCTGTTCATTCGTTCGTTCGTCCATCCGTTCTTTTGTCCATCTGTCCCGCTTCAGGTTAAAGTTTTTGGTCAAGGTAGTTTTTGATGAAGTTGAAGTCCAATCAACTTGAAACTTAGTACACTTGTTACCTTTGATGGATCTTTCTAATTTTAATGCCAAATTAGAGTTTTGACCCCAATTTCACGGTCCACTTAACATAGAAAATTATAGTGCGAGTGGGGCATCCATGTACTATGGACACATTCTTGTTTACATCTTTAGCACTTCATGATAACAATCAAAGTTCTCTTTCCTAAACAGAAATGCAACATTTTTGTCATTTTGGAAACCGTTTTAGGTTCTTTGGATGAAATGAGAATGATTTATCTTAATGGAACAGTTGTAAAGATGACTGTGCATGTGTTTATGGTTTAAACACTTCTGTTGACATGTCATGTTCTGACTGTGCATGGGTTTATGGTTTAAACACTTCTGTTGACATGTCATGTTCATGGCCTGTTACAAAAAGAACTGCTCTGTCAAAATTGTGAGAAATGAAACTTGAAACAAAAATGAGAAAGAGATTAACCTGATTATGCATGAAATATTTGCCGATTTAAACATTAAGGAAATAATAAACAATCCAGTCATGATTTTTTTTCATAGAATTCATCAAGATATGATAAAAGGATCAATTCTTAATGAACAGATTTTTTAATCAAAATCAAAAAAAATATCAACTTTCCCCACTAATTTATTTCCCAAATGACCTGATTATGGCTTTAAAAATTCAGAAAATGGCATTAAAAGAACCATTTTCAATCATCCTGATAAACCAATGTAAAGAGAAACAGAAAGGAACTATAAAATGTAAAGAGAAACAGATAGGAACTATGAAATACAAACAGATCATTTTTTTGAACAGAATGCAAATATTTTATTTAACATAGATTTGTTTAAATTAAAAGGTTGTGTGGATTGCATTCAAGTAAAAATCATTTTACAAGCTTTTGTCATCATATGATGATTTTCTTTTCTTCCAAAAAATGTCAAATGTAATTGTTTTAATTTATTTGTAATCACATTTTTTCCATGTGATGTGATGTCTTGGGTCCAAATAAAATATATATTGATGATATTTATGTATTTGTATGTATATTATTAGGAATTTTTTTTGACAAATCACTTTTAAATATGCTTTCCAATGCTTTATGTCCTGTTATGTATACTGCATTAAACATAGAAAGATTGTGATGTAAAAAATAGTTTTGATCTATGACTCCTTTTTGTTCAAAAATATACATAATGTTTTATAACATAGTTGCTTCACTTATCTTAATTTTTTCCTCCTTTTCAACAAACTGTTTTTCTTCAGGGTTGTACAACTTCATCCTAATGAAATATCATAAGTCCATATTACAAAACAGATAATTTTATATTGACTATTATTTCACAATTTTAACCAACAATTTCAACATATCAAATCAAAACTCATGCAGTAATACCAGTTGAACATAGATTATATTTACACACAAAAAATGCATTTATTATATGTATATTGACTTATGGTGTCCATTTTCAGTCACTTTGTAATTTCTATATTTCATTCTTTTTTTAGAACAAAATGATTAACACCTAATTGTTCTGATTGTTCTTGAAAGAAACAATTTTGATGAACTGAATAGGAACTAAAAATTATGAATAATGCAATGAATACTGGTATTAAACATTTTTATTTGTGTATAAATATTGATAGATGATTTATCACTTAAATAATATTCAAAACATTTCATTGTCTATATCATGTGATATTATAAAACATGAATATGCATGATTTTGTCAACTATTATAATGTGATCACCATGTGACGCTTCCTTATTGTCATGTATCAGAAATAAAGAGATTCCATTTTATTCCTGTTTCTTTATCTATCACGATGGGTGCCACCAGTGGAGCAGTATCTGCTTACCCTTTTAGAGGACCTGAGATTACCCCCGGTTTTTGGTGGGGTTGGTGTTGCTCAGTTTTTAGTTTTCTTTGTTTATGGACTGTTGTTTGTCTTTTTGTTGTTTTTGTTTTTTGCCATGGCATAGTCAGTTTATTTTGACTTATGAGTTTAAATATCCCATTGGTATCTTTCACCTCTCAAATATTCACAAGATTGATTTGGAAGTTTGGGGTTAGCTCCCTTACAGTAACAAGTAGTCAGTTCATTTGTTTCTGATAGGACATAATTTTTTATGTTTATGATTTTTGTCTCGCTTTGACAGAGTCAAAAAGCGAGACATAGGTATGCTGTTTCTGGCGGCGGCGTCAACAATGTATTAGTTTGTGATTAGGTCTAGTTCATTGTGAACCACTAGTGGTAGGTCAATGATATTTGGTATGCAGTTGAATAAGCATTGGCACATCTCATTACCATAGAGATTATTTGGCCCTGCCCCCTCAGTCAAGGTCTATTGACTTTGAAACTTTTCATAGTTTACATGTATTAGTTTGTGATTAGGTCAGTTTATGGGGAACCACTAGTGGTAGGTCAATGATATTTGGTATGCAGTTGAATAAGCATTGGCACATCTCATTACCATAGAGATTATTTGGCCCTGCCCCCTTAGTCATGGTCTATAGACTTTGAAAATTTTGCTAAGTTAACATGTATTAGTTTGTGATAAGGTCAGTTCAAGGGGAACCATAAGTGGTAGGCCAATGTTAATTGGTTTTTAGTTGTATAAGCATTAACACATCTCATTTCCATGGAGAATATTTGGCCCCACCCCTCGGTCATGGTCTATTTACTTTGAAAGTTTTGCTCAGTTTGCATGTATTAGTTTGTGATTAGATCAGTTTAAGATGAACTGCTAATGTTAAGTCAATGATATTTGGTATGCAAATTTATTGGCATTTGCAAGTATCGTTTCCATGGAGATTATATAGCCCCACCCCTGATCATGGTTCATTGACTTTGATGGTATTTGGTATGCAGTTGTAATATCATTGGCACATCTCATTCCATGGTGATTGTTTAGCAATGTACCTTCAGTCATGGTTCATTGACTTTGAATATTTGCATAACTTACATGTTAAAGTATTGTTAATTTAATTTCAACATTTGCATTATCAAAATTACATAAAGGCGAGACATATCTCTGTGATAACAGTTTATTTGTTTATTGTTAGAAATTATTAGCTCACATGGACAGTTTGAGTCATTAACATCACTTTGTGTTATTTATCAATTAGTTTAATGTGCCCCAAATTTTGAAAGAATAATGTTTTAAGATCCTCTATTAAACTACCTCTGGTGTGTGTGAATAGAATGTAAAACGTGTCCTCTAGAAGCAGTTATTGATTCTGATTGGATGATTTTAGACTTGTATGTGAAATCACATTTTCATCTTTTCTCCTTAGAAAAAGTCACGTCTCTATCAAACAAGCCAGATATTGGTATATTGTTGCACATGTAAAAGTATTGGTGTTGCCATCAGCATCCTATATGCAGACTTGTACAAGTTTAAGCCTATATTTGGTATGTTGTTGCCATTTGCAACTGAATATTTATGCCCCGCCGTACTCTTGTCGTTTTACCCTTGTCCGTCCGTACATATGTTCGTCCAAAAGTTGGTTTCTGTTCTCTAACTTTAGTTTGCCTTGACCAAATGTTATGAAACTTATACAAAATACTCATTACCACAAAACACAGATCTAGTTTGAATTTTGGTGGCATCACTTTAATCGTTCTAGAATAATGGCCCTTTACAAATGGAAAAATTGCTGAATGTTTCATTTCTGTTCTCTAACTTTAGTTTGCCTCAACCAAATGTTATGAAACTTATACACAATGCTTATTACCACAAAATACAGATCAAGTTTGAATTTTGGTGGTGTCACTTTAACCGTTGTAGAGTTATGCCCCTTTACAAATGGAAAAATTGCTGAATTTTTTGTTTCTGTTCTCTAACTTAAGTTAGCCTCAACCAAATATTATGAAACTTATACACAATGCTTATTAACAAAAAATACAAATCAAGTTTAAATTGTGGTGGTGTCACTTTTACTGTTCTAGAGATATGCCCCTTTACAAATGGAAAAAATGCTGAATTTTTCGTTTCTGTTCTCTAACTTAAGTTTGCCTCAACCAAATGTATGAAACTTATACATAATACTTATTACTACAAAACTCAGATCAAGTGCAAATTTGGGTAGCATCACTTTTACTGTTCTTCAGTTATGTCCCTTCATAAATTTATATGATATGCAACCGGGGCAACATCTGTGTCTCATGAAGACATTCCCCATTTATATTTATTTTCGAAATATACTGGACTCATCACTCATTTACTGGTTAAATCTTCATGATTATATTGTCATGTTTTTTTGTTGTTTTATAATCAAACTGACACAGTCCATAAAATTGCTATTTGTAGTTATGCCAAGAAGCAAATGAGGAATTTATTCAAAGTTCTGTTGAATAAACATGCCTCACTTATTTTTCCCCATAGTTTATTTGATTTGTCTCCCTTTAAATAACTGGTGTAGAATGAAGTGAGTTTAATATGAACCAAGGAATGAGATTTAACTGCAGACCAATCTGTCTGTACAAAGAAAATTTTAGTGTGTTCTTAGATGATTTTACACTATCAATTTGAGCAACTAAGGCTAACAATGTGGTCTCTTTCGTTATATCAAAATGACAGCAAACTAGGTTTTTCTTACATTTATTAGTGTTATTGTTAGAGAAATTAATACCTTTTACTCCTGAATGTCAAAAGTGTAAATCTTCAAAATCAATCTTGACCTCCATTTTATCTGATATTAAAACTTGAAAAGGATTGTATCAAGTAATCACACGGAATTGACAATGGACTAGGACCATAACTCAAAAGTGGAACTGGTGAAATTGTTAATATCAAACATTTTTTCATCAGTAGCAGTATATTATAATCTGCATTAGTTGAACTAGTTCTCAAGTAATTGCATGAAAACAACATAAAGTGTTATTTCCACATCGACCATGGACCATAACTCCAGAACAGTAAAAGTGAAAATCTTTTGTATCAAACTTGACATCCATTTAATACTACATCAGTAACAACAGACTGTGGATTCATTTTTATTCGTGTGATATCAATTTTTGTGGATTTCGTGGGTAAATGGTAACATAAAATTAAATGTTCAAAGAAGTAAATATTTTCTATAAGCTTGTGTGCAGACTTTGGCAAAACCATAAAATAAAATATCAACAAAAATATATTTTTTCCTCAATCCACAAAAAATAAATGAATCCACTGTATAAAATCTGATAAGCAATTAATAAATAGCTCTTAAGTTATTTCATGGAAAAAAGTGTCATTTTCAAGCAAATCATAAACCATAACTAAAAAAGGGAGGGGCCTGGATGGCTGAATGGTCTAAGTAGTTCAACTCCTGTACCACTAGAGGTTAGGAGTTCAAATCACTCACAAAACAGGTGTGCTGGACTCCAATCTTAATTGACAAGGATTGTTAGTTTTCCTGCCGAAGGTTGTGGTTTTCTACGGCCACACCGTCTTTCTCCACCAATAAAACACTGATCGCCACAAAATTGCCATTAGTGCTTAAAGTGGCATTAAACACAAATCAATCAATCAATAAAAAATGGTAAAATTGATAATCTTCAATAACACCTTAACTCCCATTTGTCATCAGTATCAACATATCAAAATTGAAAGACATTGTAGAACAGTTCTCAGGTTATTGCATGGAAGCAGGTTGAGCAGCCAACCTGTCTGCTATAATATCCCAAAATTAAAACCTCAATTTTTCTGTCCAAAAAGCTGATTAACAAACTATTTTTTCAAAGGTTAGACTTGTACCATCGGCATTTTTTGGAATACTGGTACACTGAAAACAAGGAGATATTGTACAATCTTTTTCTGTATCAAATGCTTGTTGTAGTTAAGGTGTGTTCGTCATGGAAGTAGTTTAAATAATCATTATGTAATTGTCAACAATATGCATGGAATATTTGCCACAAGATGTTAAGCAAACAACAATTGCTCAAACTATAGGTTAAACATGTACTTTGCAAATTTTTAATGGATTAAAAATCGTTGAATATCCAGGGTCGAGTGATCTTTTAAGAAGAGAAGAAAACAAATTTAAATTATTTATTAAACTCTAACATTGTGTCAACACAAAAAGTAATAAATATGGTCACCATAGTAACACAAAAATCTGCTGTATATTTACATCAACAATATCAACATGAAATGGTAAACAACAGATGGATTTATGTCGGAAATGAAATGGATTTTAACAATGTTCTGGATTTATACAAGAAACAATGGGGGAAAATTCCCCTTGGAATATAAATGCATTACAACTGCCATTTTGAAAATACATTTTGGACAAATAAAACTTATTAAGCTTCTTTTATTTGTTTCTCTTTCAATTCATTAACCTTGTCAGAAGTACAACTCTAGAATTCTTAAGAAATACAACAGATTGTAAAAATATAAAACTTTGTATGTAATTATAGACAAAAATAAAACAATCTTTCTTCTCAATTCATATTTTCAAAAAATATACCACATTCAAATAAAAAAAAAATTCTGCCTATAGATATTGTACTTGTCAGCAACTATAGACATTTTATATTTCAAGTTTATTGTTGCTATTTTACATGCGGCAAAGGTGGCATGTACCAAATTTCTTCGTGCATACTATTCAACTAAGATAATTTGCATAAATATTGAAATTCAATGTATAACTTTGGGGTCACAACTATAATTAACACTAATATTCTGTGCAAAAAATAAATTAAAAATAAACCTATCTTATATTCATAATTTATAATTAATAACAATCTCACTTTATCATGCAAGATAAAAGATAATTATATAATCTCTCTATTAAATAATTTAATAAAAAAAAAATCTTTTTCATAAATAAATAAAACTTTCATTGAAAGCACAAACACCATCATCACCTTGCATATTCAAAACATAGGGTGTGTGCAATCTGTAATTGAAAGAATATATTTATTGTAGGCTCTGTAAAAGCTTCTTTCTACGGAGCACTATATATAGCTACCATATAATGGTCCCCTGTTTTGTGTGCTGGTTATCACATTATACCTAAAGTTTTGTCAATGTATTGGTAATAGAGCAGACAACATTAGAAATTCATAACAGAATGAGACCGCTTTTCTTAATGCCCTTTTCAAATGCTCAGCAACTCTCTAAACAAGCCAATGGTGCTCTTGACAAAACTAATTTTAAACATCCATAGCACTTGAAGAGATTTTCAGCTTTTTCACCATGCAGTTTAATATAAGTCAATATTTGGCTGTTTTGACGATTGATTACTGTTAAATAGTGTAAGTAGTTAGCAAAACATACCATTAAAACCCAATAAGTGGACATTGTGTTGTAATGGTAAACTCACTCATGTATAAAATCTCATTATTTTCACCAATTTAAGGAAAATCATGGATCTTTGGATATATGTTGAACTTAATTACATAAAACAACAGATGGAAAAGTCTATAAGTGTACCAACATATTACATGGGATCAAATATATTCCATTTAAATTTTTGATCTTTCTTTCAATTTGGAAAGTTAAGCTTAATGTAAAATGTTTTGTTTGTAATAAGACGATATAAAAGCTAAAGCTTATGTTTTCTGTATACTTATTTTTGTCTACAAGTAAAGCTTTTGAACTTGAACTTGAAAATAAACATCTATAAACAAAGTTAAAATAGTATACACAGAAGGTACTATTACAAAAATATAACAATTTACATTGTCATTATTCAGTGCTTCCTATGTAAGTTGTAGAAGTAACTGTGATAAGTGTACGATTATTTGTAGTTTAAAAAAGAAATCTGAAAGTATTTAAAAAAATTGTAAACTGGACAAGAAATAGTATTACATGTACCTTGACCACAGGCTTTTCGAGCTTAATAATGCATACATAATCAGACAGATTTTAAAACTATTCAAACAAAACAGATTTTAAATTATAAATAAAAAACCACAAAGTGTTCATTTTCAATCTTAAAAAAGGTAAACAAATAACTTTAAGTACTAACAGATTAAACAATAATAAGCTGTTGTACTCTTTAATTAAAACATGATTTGTTCATAGTATTGTCAACACTCAACCTTGACCTTTTAACAGTATTAATCCATTCATAATCTGCTTAATCTCTACAAATTTTCTGTCACTAATCTGATTTTAAAGAGTAATAAAAATATATAGTCATCAAAATAAATGAGATTGAAAAATTAATTGTTTTTTAAAACATTTATTTTCATTTTTGATTCAGAAAAAGGTCAGGTTGACATAATGATGCATTTTGCAAAATTATTATTAGAAAATTAAATGATAGAAGTCATTAGCAGTTTCTCAAAAGTTGGAATGTTAAGTGAATTAACCTTTCACAACAGAAGTAAAAAATTCTTTTTTTCTTCACATTCATAGATCATCCTCAAAATTTATGATGACTTAAAAATCTACTGTTCAACCAAAATTTAAAAGATCCCCAGACTTCAATTTTATCATAACCTTTAGAAAAAACATCGATGATTTTTATGATGTATGTTATTTTAATATCTAATAAAAAATACCCTGAATTGAAACAACTGATGACAAATGTAATATAAGCTATTACAGCATGACTTAGTGATGACCAATTTTCTTGCAAATAGTTATTTTTCATTTAATAATAAAAGTTGTTTCAATTAAAACAGAGGCAATATCTTAAAAACGGGCCCATGACAGTTGTATTATGTCAAATAATGTAAAATATTTTTATCTCCTAACTAATGTGACACTAGCTACCATACATTGGAATATTTAACTATTTACTAACGTCAAATGACAAAAGTATGGAAAAATTTCTGTAACTTAATGATCACAGTGATTGTAAATAATGACCTGTAAATTTAACACATCTAAGGAGGGAGACTTAGGGTATGGGATATTGCCTTTAAAAATCCTTGGAACTCTTTTTACTATCCTTTTGAAATTACATATATTTTCAGCTTCTAAGGTGTAACACCACTAATTCAGGTCCAGGTATAAAGAACATAACAGAAAATAGTAAATATTTTAAACAAAATAGTTCATATGTATAGGTGTCACTTTCAAAATAATATGTAGAATATTTAAGTAATTTCAGTATCAAATGAAAGCTAAAGGACTTGTGATCATTGTTGAATACTTTTCAACTGAAGACTTATTTTATTGTGATCATTGTTGAATACTTTTCAACTGAAGACTTATTTTATTGTTATCACTTATTTAATAATTGCACAAACTTTAAAAAGGAGGGCATATATTGTGCCAGTTTCTCAGATCTGAGTTCTGGGAACCAGTATGCTCTTTTATGGTATTAAAAGCACGTTGATTTTATCATTGCAAAACAAGTTACGGTAGCGATTTGAGCTTATGACAAAATAGCTATGAATGCTTGAAATTGAAGAACATAGAAAGTAATACACCTTATCGCTATTTGTCCCCCTTACTGGGCATCACAAAAGAGGGACGAAAGATACCAGAGGGACAGTCAAACTCATAGATCGAAAAAAAAAAACTGACAACGCCATGGCCAAAAATAAAAAGACAAATAGGCAAATAATAGTACAGAGGTTCCAGTAAAATTTTGATATCACAAATAAAATGTCTGACACAACAAAGGAATAGTGATTGTTGTATGACGTCAATAAGTCTTCTTACAATAAAGTGTCGTAAATTCTCAGGTCAAGTGTCGCAAATTCCCATATAGCCATAAGGTTTATGGGCCAAGAATTAGTGGTGTGCCTCCTCTAAATGACAGATTTTTAAAATCTGTTTCAAAGAAAACCATAAAAAGCACCTATGAAATAGCTTATTGCAAACGCATTACCGGTTAATGGCTTATCTCCCTTCACCCAGGTATACTCCCTTAGTCAACCGTATGAGACCCTTATGGGTAGTGAAGGTCAAATAACACATCCATAGTAGTAATATACTCAATCAACTATTGGTGACCTGAATATTTTATGTGTTTATACTGGAACCTGGCCTATAACATTGTATTGATATAATGATTTGAATATAAGTAAATTTCTACAATACAGTACTTTGACATCATCATCTATTTAACTTTTTTGTTGCCTGAAGTTCTTAATACAGTAATTACATTCATCCTGATAAAGTTTCTTTGTTATAGTAACCTCCCTTGATCTTGCCGTAAATTATGACAAATAATTTTCATAAGTTTGATATTCATTATGCAGCTTCGAAAACACTTAACTGATTACAACCTCTTCAATAAAACCTTTATTTCTCCTTCTAAAGGATAACTATACATATAACAAGGATAGGCTGAATTTCACATAATCATTATAGTGTAATCTTAACCTTCATTTGTTTGACAAATAACCATTCATTTCTACAGAAATTATCATGTAGCTATAATATAATCACTCAAATTATATATTGTGACTCATAATGAATACAAAATACAAAATCTTCTGAAGAAAACACTAATTACTATGTAATTATTGGTCATTTTAACCTCTCAAGTGATTATGTATGTACAGGTGTGAATGAGTTTGCAATTACAACCCATAAGGTTTGTTTATTTTTTAATGAACAAGCTGACTAAGAATTCAAAGACACTGAATGAGATCTATTGTTTCTTACACAAGAAGAAGATTTGAATTTAAATGAACAGTACATTTTTGAAATTAATACCAATATCAATAACATTTCCAGTACATTGTATTATCTAACATCTTAAATTAATAAAAAGAAATACTGAAAGTTTTAAAACATTATTTAAAGCTAAACAATATTAGGCTTAATCACAGCAGAATATCAACAAAAACAACCAAATAAAAATCATTCATAAATTTTCTTAGTGATTTTCAATTTGTTCTAAATCAAGGTCTTCCTGAAGCTTGAAAATTTCTTCATCTTCATCATCTTCACCAACCAGTTTCACTGGACCTTTGACAACAGAATCATAATAATTTTCACAGTCAATAAACTCTGTACTATCACTGCGACAATGTTCCATCTCTGTTATGGGACTTGTTCGTGATTCCATAGCAGCTTTCAACGGAAAATCATTGTCTAATGGGGAACTAGCAATTGGCATTAAACTCATCACAGACTCTAATTCTTCATGAAATCTTGATTTCTGAAATATATGTTCAAAATTTCATTAAAAACTGCACAGAATTCATGTCACTGAAAAATAAAGAGCTGCGGCATGAGCACATGATATGCCCGTAAATGAATAAAGCCCCATAACTCGGAAACATAAAATCTAAAATTTATAAAAATCGAAAGGGAGCTCACGTCAATAGATATAAAAAATTCACCAAAGTTTCATGCAAATTGGTTTAATTTTTTTTTTTAATTATATGTAAGACATGTTGACGACAGACAGACGGACACAGACAGACAACGGTATACCGGTACCATAATATGTCCCGTAAATGTGCGTATAATAAAAATCAATTTCAGTTTTCTTGTTCCATACAAGTACACTGCTATCGATGAATATCTTAGTTTCTAAAAACATCCTTTTTTTTCAACAATGAAATCTACAATTGTTATACTGCAAAGTACAATGAATCAATATTATATTGTGATATTATAAAATGACACTCTAGGGAAAAATTAGCATTTCCATCTACAAGTGTATATGCAGATTATGATAGATAGATTTTACATCTACCTATTAAAGCTAATTACTGCTACACAGATACACAGAATTAACAGTGAGTTTGTCCTACAATATTAAAAAATTCTAGATTTTTTTGCCAATTTGTCTGTAATTTGTTACTGTACATCAATATTTCTCAATTTACAGATGTACTGTTATCAACATTAAGCAAAACATTTTGCTCACAACTGTGGGTCACATTGAACTAAAAGTGAGATGTCAGCTTTTGCTCAATGTTGAAGACTTCACCTTTACTTTAGAACAACATTAAAAGGGCTGTTCCTTTACTTTGTTTTTTCTCAAGTGTGTGATGAAATAAGACAACAACCAAACAGCACATGCCTAACACGGACATCTTGTTTAAAACCATACAATCTCTATAATAAGTCATCACTCTGACACGTGAAGAAAAAAGTTCAAATTTTATGACAATTGATTTTATAATCAATAATAAAATTCCAAAATAAACAATAACAGATTATGACAACAAGCACACAACATGGGGAAAGTATTTATATTCACAGAAGTAATTTTAGTTTTTAGTATGTAAGCTTAGACTGATCTATTTATATTTGAACTAATAGTTGATTAAGCTGTGTCGAGAACATAATTCGTAATTTACTGATAGTTGTATAATGACATTTTTTTCTATACAGCTGTCATGTTATAAATTTACAGTTAAGACTACAAAAACTGTTAAGTCATCATCAAAATTATTTTCTGTACCAGTACATTTAATCTATGAAACCTTTAAATACTTAATTTATGCAAAGATTTCAAAAGATAAAAAAAAATCTAAAATATACTAATTTCCATAATAACATCACAAAAACGTCTTCTATAAGTGGAAATAACCAAAGTGTAGGTGTGTTTGTTTAAGTTTTTATATGGTATCAGAGTTTGTATAATTACAAGTTCGTGTTGACATTCAACTCCAAAATTTGTAATTGAATAAATGAATCCTTGAAATAACACTGGAACCAAATTAACTAAATCACTATAAGTGCTCTTGGTATGCCTTAAGATTTAAGCATGATAGTAGCTTATAGTGTTATGTTTACAACTTTTAAATATTTCCCAAAGATCAATTAAGTAGACAGTTACAATAACTGACAGCTTTCTTTTATTTCACACTGATCAGCAGTAATTTAATCTAAAATACCAAATTCAATTAATGAGGAAAAGGAGATATCAAATAGCCTTTGCTGAACAATTTTCAATAGCAATATGAATTGTTTTTTTTAATGAATTTCTACTTCAATCTTTCTTAATGAATCAGTTATAAAATTGCTGACAATCAAACATATAGTACACATGGCAGATTCTTGAAGAAGTCAATATGCACCTACATACACTAAAGTAGAAATATCGACTGAGTCCACAGGCTAAGGACTATATGTTTCATATCCATCTCACTAAAACAGACTGTTATAAAATACAAACCTCCTTGCCCAAGGTAGATACTGGTGTTGATTTTGGAAACTTCTCATATGCTGTCTGAAAAACCGATATAATATTTTCAGAGATTTCATAGTTTTTTTTGTAACAACAATCAAAAAATTTATTTATATCAACCCATTTTTGGGGGTTGTAATCGATTCAAAATAATTTTGAATCTCAACAAAGGGATATTCACAGATTAGTGTAATATTATATTTTCTGCATTAATATCAACCTGTTTTCAGCTAGACAGGTGTGTTAAATATTTGTTTATACTTCTTCTTTTCAAATATGAGCTAACAAAGAAATAATACACTGCTCACTTAATTTTAAAAATGTAATAAGGAACAATATATTAAGACCTGAATAATATGAAACTTGAATTAATGGTATTTTTTTTTATTGAGGTATACAATAATAAAACCCCTTGACTATAACCTAATCTTAAATATTTAGCACAGAACAATCTTAACAGTCAAGCACTTGTAAAAGTAGTTAAATAACCACATCACTTATTTATAAGGCAGACCGATTAAAAGTATATCTTGACATATAAAGTTAACCTTCTGGACTCTTATTGTCAATATAATGTGTACAAACTAAGCCCTTTTAAGTTTAAATGGTGCCTTAAAATGATAAGATAATATTTATTCTTCAAATAAAATGACCAATGTTCATATGTTAAATACACCATTAAAAGTGGATAAACATGTCAAAGCGTTTTACTTGACCAGATTTATCATCATACCAAACATTGTGATATACTTGTTAATATTGGCTCTATCTTATCCACATTAACATGAGCTTCAGACATTTACGATTACAAAATGTATAAGCAAAGTCAGTCTGTCCTTGAATGGAAGTCTAGCTTACTTACTTACTCAGTCCTTACTATGCCTGATGGCACACAAGGCAAGGCCAAGTTTCAAGCTAGAAGTCTAGCTAAGTTAAGAGTATCGGCAGATCTAGAAAAAGGTGGTGTAAGACCTCCCTTGCTCTTTCTCTCACTTATTTTCAAATTTCTTTATAAATCAAAGATTATTTGGGATACTTTAAGAGTTTTAAACAAGAGCCTATAGTCCAGAGGTTGTGGACGCTTGATGTCTACCATAATTAGTTTTCATTCATTGTTTCAATATAAATCAGGATTTTCATATTTTGTTCTCTCTAGGCTTTTCATAGCTTATTATACAGTTAGGTTTTGCTCATTGATAAAGGCTACCACACTGCCCTAGAACCAACCAAATATTGTTAAACAATATTATAATTATTCTATAAACCTAGCTGCCACCTATCCAAATCCACATTCTATCATAATTTTATCTGGGCTGTTATGTAAGACGTATAAATTGTTAAAGGATTGACAACATGAATGCCAAAGGTTTCACTCTGAACTCAACATAACAGAGTCAAGTCTGAATTTTCAAATTCTGGTTGTATACTAATAAAGATTTGATTTTTTGATTTTTTGATTTTTGTGTTTTTAACGCCACTTTTAAGCATCGCTTTTGGGCTATTTCGTGGCGGCCAGTTTTTATTGGTGGAGGAAGCCGGAGTACCCAGAGAAAACCACCGACCTTCGATAGGAAAACTGACAATCCTAGTCAATTAAGATTGGAGTTGAGTGCACCCACACGAGCGGGGTTCGAACTCACAACCTCAGTGTTGACTGGCTAGTGATTACAGTAGTAACTACTTAGACCACTCGGCCACCGAGGCCCCTACTAATAAAGAAATATGACCCATTTCTGCAAGCAAAATCTCCTGAGCAGACTAAAGAGACACTATGAGTATTATTAATGGTATTTTTGTATAAAATACCTTCTGTACTTTAATCACATAACTATAACCTTGGACAAATTTGTCAACAATTTTGGCAAAAATTTCAACCATATTTCTGCACTAATAACAATGGTGATTTATTTGAAGTCTTAGATGTGCTCACAAGTTTCCTTTCAAATAACAAGATCTTCAGGTATTTTAAATTTGCATCTTTTTTTTACATTATTATATGGACATTTAGCTACAAAATTTGGCTGAAAGTCAAACAATTTTAAACATAAGATCTTGTATTAGATTTTAAATATTACCAGTAAGCTATTTGTTGGAAGCATGCAATAATTATATGTTACCTATTAGCATGCTGTTATTGCATGTTGACATTTTAACCAGTGACTAAAAAACCAATGAAAAGAATAGTAAAAATCCCCCAGATAGTACAAAACTCGTAAAAAGTAAATGATCCTTTTCAACTTTAAGAACAAAACATTATTAATTATTTACAAAAACATATTGGGTGTCACCTATGTTTTAAAGATCTTTTAAACAGATATAAAGACGATAATACGTAAAAACGTTCTTGGACAATTTTTTGTGAGATCAAATTATATATTTTTCTCAATGTAAAGGTTTATATACACAAATGTGAAATCAAGCAGAAAACAATCAATTTAGATATTCAATACTAGTGCTTTATATTTACAAAAGACACAGTCTTATAGCGAAAATCATCAATATTCTTTCAAGTAATACAAATAAAAGCCAAGTCAAAGGTTCGACAAAAAACATTATATATTTATATCATGTGATTTCAAGTTTGAAAATAGGACAAAGTTTATTGATCAGAAGCTATTTATGGGTTCTCTGTTTTTCAATGTATTACAAGTCAATTAACAATAAATTTAAATGTTTTGAATAGAAAATATTTATTGAACTATAAATTTTTTTTTATTCTGTTAAAATAGCTTTATTCAAGATGAAATTATAATCAACTTTATGGTGACTTATCATTATCATGTAATGAATTCAATTACCTGTTTTAAAACAGTTCACCGATATTTTAATTGTTAATTTGATTTGTAATGATAAAAAGATCCCTTTGTTTTTTATTATATTTTGAACAAGGAAATATTCCTGATTGTCAACTGCACAATAAGCTTTATACATGAATGTAATTTATGCTTTAGAATGCATTAGCTTTGTTTTAATCCATACCTTATATAATGCACACCTTTTTTAACTTTATTTTATCATTTAGATCTTGCATTGTTTGTGCATTTTTTTTTTCAACAATGAATCAACAAAATAATTTATCATTGCAAAATCTCTTTTGACATTTCAATTCCTAGCGCTTATCCTTTTCCAAAAATCTTGTAAAAATTTGATATTATGAATTTGTTTCAAAATAAATAAATATGTATATAGGAAAGTGTGTGGTTAAAATATTTTAATTTAAAACAATTCTAGAATCAATATGCAGCACAAACAACTACAACTTTCATTGTTATTATATATATTACCAACAGAATAGTTTTGCCACATCAAAATTTTGCAAATTGCCAAATTATGACACATTAGACATTGGCTGCTTACTTTGTTATGTGTAAGAATTCATCAATTATAAAAGACTCAAAACTTAACTTTAATCAAAAAGTGTGAAAATGGATCAAATTAATAAAGTCTTTGTTTGGTAAAGTGTGAAAATCTCTCCCACATAATATCTATATTATGACTCAATCTTGTGAACCGACAGAATAGAGTTATTTCACAAAGGTCAAAATAGAGGTCTTTACAAAGAGGTCTTTACAAAGAATGCTACACATCTAAAAGGTGAAAAGTTTAATAATATAATTCACCCTGGGACTAGAAAGAATAATACTCAATTATATCAGGTTAACATCAATGAGACAGCAAACTAACTACACTCAACAAAAAGGGACATCTATTGACTATAAACCTGTTTACTGTCAAAGACTAGAAGTCTTTTTTTAATGTGTTGCATTGCTGTCTCCTCATCTCCTTTTAATCAAATTTGGGAGTCACTTAAATTTGTGTGTGATGCTGCAGTCTCTATTTCGTCTGTGGCAAAGCTCAAAGATATATATCTTGTTTCTTGATCCATTGAAGTTACAATTATTTAAAGGACAGGTAAATTATATAAAGGGCAGGTAAATTATCTTAAGAGCAGGTAAATTATCTGAATGGCAGGTAAATCATTTAAAAGGCTGGTTTAAAGAGTGAGTAAATTTTATTCAGAGCATGGTACTAACAAGTAAGTTGACACTTCCGCTAAAAATACCAAGATCAGATGTCTGTTTCTATAAAACATTTAACATGTCCAAAGGGCAACTTTTCAAACCATACACTACTTTAAAACGAGCATGTCCCAAGTTAGTGGGAGTGTTTAGCGCCAACAAACTAGTTGAACCCTGCCACAATGTGACATTCTGCATGTGCCTGTCCCAAGTCAGGAGTCTGTAATTCAGTGTTTGTCGTTTGTTGCTGTGTAACATATTTGTTTTTGGTTCATTACTTTGTACATAAATTAGGCCGTTAGTTTTCTAGTTTGAATTGTTTTACATTTGTCATTTCGGGGCCTTTTAGAGCTGACTATGCGAATGGCCTTTGCTCATTGTTGAAAGCCGTACAGTGACCTATAGTTGTTAATTTCTGTATCATTTGGTCTCTTGTGGAGAGTTGCCTCATTGGCAATCATACCACATCTTCTTAATTTTATATTAGACTAGGGGCTACAATAATGCTAGACTGTAAAACATGAATTTTCTGTCCCAGATATAACAAACGATAACGATTTGTAAAATTTTGTGGTAAAGCCAAGTACAACTCTTGAAACCTGAACATTACCAATTACACAAGTACGTCTTTAAATAGTAAATTTTCTTTGAATAAATCCCTTTCAAAAAATCTGTTTTTTTTGTCAATCTCCCTTACCTGTACTATCTTAAAAGATCAAGTAAACCAAGATTATGTTTGCAATATACAAAGGCTTAACAAAAATCTGGCTGTTAGTTAATTTATCTATAAAAGGTTCCTGAACTTTCAATTCAGCAAATAAATATTGAACAAAACAACAAACTGTAAAAATCAGTTTGAGCTTAAACTGATTTGAAAAATGACACTGTCATACATGGAGGAAAAATACATCTATAACCTATGAATTATGTATGAAGTCATGTTAAAACATAGCAATTCTTGAGAATCTTACTCCTATTTAAATGATTAATGACTTTAACCCCCAAAATGTTTTGGGACTATTTTTAACAAATTACTGACAAGTGCAGCATTGACAGTACATGTAGGACATTATTTAATTGCAGTATTTCAACAGAATTATCTAACATTTATAAATATTAAATTTATAAACTATAAAGCAATAACTAATTGAAAGAACATATTCAACTTAGATAGATATTTGGTGTATTGATGGTTTTCTGTCTCATTGACAATTACCCAATATAGATATTCAATACTTAAGATAGACTAAAAAATAAGTAAATCTACACAATTACCTCAGTCATTTTGTGAAAGTTTAATTTTGGTCGATGTTCATAATCTCTGCGACGTTTAATACCACATTTTCTGTCATAGAGAACTGAAGGTTGTGATCGACACCGAGGTATTTTATTACGATGATGGTGATTGTAATGATGATGTGCTAACTGTACAGATGAAGTTGATCCTGAGGCGTTACTACACGAAATCTCATCCTCAAAAGAAAGACTACGGTTTTTAAAAGCATTGAATTTGTTAAAAGTTGTTTGTTCAAGCCATGATGCACCAATGGGACTATACATGTTGTCATAACAACCGGGATATGTAGATGCTGAAAGCGGACGAGGTACGGGAGATTCCGGTGGTGTAAAAATATCACAGTTTAAATGATCACTAAATGCTGGACTAAAATGATGTTCCTTATCAATTACAGGAATAGGCTTCCAAACTAACGTTTCTTTTGGCTGCCATTTTGATGTCACATCAGTACAATGTCTTTTGGTGGGTGGGTCTACGGAATTCCCGTTATCACAGGCTGTTGAGATCTGAGACAATTTATCCTCACAAATATCCTGACTTGTTTGTTTACGTGGAGACAGTTTACTCCTCTGTAAATCTTGGCTTGATCTTCTAGTCTCTTTTCTTGATAAAATGTCATCGTGATATGAACGACGGCCATCTGTCCTATGATGACTCTCATCAGATTTTTTACGAATGGAATGAGGTTCTGTTTTTGTAAGACCAGAAATTCTGTCACCAGAATTTAATTTAACTGTCCACACTTTTTTCCCTGTAAAATGAAATTTATCATTTAAACATAAATGGATTAAAATTCATTTTTAAGTGTAATTTTGGTTTTTTCAAAAAGGAAAAGGCTTTAAATAGTCAAAATACAAGGATTTGACTGATTTGCATCTTATTTGCTCATAATAACATTTTTTTACAAAAAAAATCAACATTTAAAACTCTCATCTTTATAATGCCCACATCAGGTCCATTAAAAAAAGTTCAATGTCAGCGAAAAGGTTTTATGGTACTTTACATTCAATAGATATGATTTTAACAGAACACATTAATCAAGGTTACTTTCATTTGAAAAAATAATAGATTTCAGGTTTAATTTGTAATGTTATGTGTGAACATGAAATTAACAGGAAATTGTCTTTATTGTCAATATCAATTAATTCAAATACAATATAGGTCAAGCCTATTTAGAAACATTCAAATAGGATTAATACAGAATTCTAGGATTGTAATAGCTAAACTAGTTTCCAGATGACTAGCTGGAAGAAAAATTGATATTCAAAGCCAGCACTTAATAAAAAAAAAAATTAAAGGATTTATTTTCATTGCTATAAAGGTGTTGGTTTTCACTCATTGATAAATACCAACCTTCAGGATGAAGAACAACAATAAAAGTATTTGTTTTTTTTCTTCAAAAAATCATTTTAATTGACTTTATATTAGTTCTTTTAAAATCTTTCATTTAGCTCGACATGTACACAATTATAAAAAAGCACTATCTACAAATTTTAATTTGATGGAATGCTTTTAAATTCATTAAATTACAGAGAAAACTTAGATAACCCCCAAAAAATAAATCTGGTAAACTTATATCTTAAAGTCTTTTGGTCTTATATAATAGATAAAAATGCATTTTGTTAACTGGAACTGACTAAATACCTATTTAATTTTTTATCTCTATGCATTCAAATTAAAATTTTATCGCTGTGCAATGACAAATGACTAAACACAAATTTGAAATAGACGTAAATGAATTGACAACTTCAGTGTGATCAAAAGGGGATATTAATTCTATTTTATATTCAACTTCTAATAATACCCCTTCAAGGCATTACTATAGAAGATCAAATTTGTTGTTACGTCAATTTTCGCTCTGATGAACTAGATAAAGAAACATAAAAGGTCTCATTGGCGATAAATCCCTGCAAGGAATAATTTGATAATATATATATTTTTAAATGAGCGACCTTACCTAGGCTTTTTATGATTTGGGGAGGACACTTTTTTGAATAGTGATTATAACAAGAATGACAGAACTTTTTAGAGTTTAACAGAGATAGGTGCATTAAGCTTTATAAAATAATTCAAAATAAGTACTTAATTTCTTGCCCACAATAAAAATCGTGGCAAGCAAATAAACATGGTTTTATATTCTGAATGAAATTCAATGTCTTTTAAATGGAAGTCTGACATCAAATGTTAAAAGGATTATTCAGTCTTGCTGACCCTTTTCAGAAAAATAATTATGCAAAATATAAATCCTGAGGAGAATTAAGTAGAGTGAAATATTCCCAATCTAACCGTGTAAATATAGATATGTGTCTATTGAATTTCATATCAAGATGATAAATACCTTCCAAAAATAATCATTCAATATCCTGACCCACAAATATGAATATTATCATTAAAAATGTATTCAAATGAGTATTACTTCTTTTCTAATAATATTACATGAAAGCGACAGTCAAAATGTGTTTTGAATTACCCCAAATCACCTAATTCTCATAAAAATCAATAAAAATCTTGGTCCATAACTAAAGTAGAGGGTCCTATTAAATACTAAACAATCTTTCACACTCTCCTTTGCCAATGTTTCTTGTAAAATAGCCAGATATGATATTTTTTGGTATGCTACTGCCATGATTTCTGAATACTTGTCCACAGCCAGTTTAATATAGTGCTCAACAGAAAAGATTATTGTGTTGGCCCAAAGGAAATATTTACAAACTGAGGTTTTCCATAAATAGATAATGGCATTACTTTACCTGAGCCTTTAATGGCTGCCTCAGCATTCTTGGACAATTTAAACCCTTCTCCTGGCTGTATCTACAATTACAAAACACTTATGTTAAGTCTTTACTACAACTTTACAATGTAAATGTCCAGTCATAGCTTCATTATGAAATTGGTATCCACCTTTAACAAACAACTAAAATCTCTTACTTAAGTTCTTTGGTAATAATATGGCTAAGTTATATGAAACAACATAAATTTTAGTACATGTTTTTAATAACCAATGCCCAAAGGTAAATGCAATTATGATTTTAAAAGCGTCTTATTGAAAAGGACAAAATATATTTACTTATAACAAAAGCAACAGGATGACCGTTAAATCTTCATAAAATATTAAAAAGCTAGAATAAATGTTTCTTTTCATACTAAACTAATTCAAACATCACACAGGAAAAATTAATTTTATAACAATAAGTACAAAAGTAGATCACTGTGACCTTCTTTTCTTTTATGATGACAAACAAATAATAACAGGGCAATTAAGTTAAAATTACTCTGATAAAAGTTGTTGACATTGTGAGAATCACTGTAGAAGTTATCTTTGAACACTCCATAAATACTTGTCTAGCTCATAAAATACTTGAGAATTTGTCCTATCATACCTAAATTTTATAATATAAAAAAATAACTGATATATTTTGCAGTGTGATAAATGGTTAGCATAGTTCAACAGTATTTGGAATTTACATTTTGCCAAGTCATTTGGTTGTCCTAGTCTGTCCTTTACCCAACCCCACCCTCTAGCCCTTGTCTTTCAACCCTCAAGATCCTTATTATTTCAGTGTATTTGTTTTTCACGTCCTCATGATATACAATAACTGACCAACATGACATATATTTTTATGGGGATTTTTATCTGATAGCTGACCGATATCTGACCGATATCTGTTAGACAGTTATGAATACATCTTATGTATGATAGGGATCTCATTTGATGACTGCAAATATTTTCAGCCACATAAAATAACCTATAAGTAATCTTATTTGACTTTATATATAGATACAGACACACATTATATATACATAGAACTTGCCTGTTTTTGTAAACTTTTAAATAAAACTAAATGTTAACAGACCAACCAAAATTTTCAACTTTTTGCTCAAAGGGAGAAAAAGATTAAAAAAAGGGGCCACAGAAAAGTCACTTTTAATTTTTACGTTGTTGTTTTTCATGAAGTATATTGTTTTGTCTTCCAGCTGAAAGAATCTACAACTCTTAAAAAAAAAAGTGAAAATAGTGAAGCAATAAAAATTGCTAAAGTTTGCCAAGAATAGATTTTAAAAATTCTCAGGCACATAAAAAACTGAATAAAATCTCTTCAGAAACATCAATTAATGACATCATCTGAGGATTAATTTAGTGATCCAAATATGGCCTTGGTTTAATTTCCTCTGGTAATCATAACATACCCTTTCTCCAGTTGATATATTATTTACTTGTTCAGTTATAATTGTAAATGAAATATTTGCCACTGGATGTTAACCAACTAAGCTTCATACTTCCTTCACATCATATGCATTAAATTCCTTCATCAGCAAGTACATACCTTTGAAGCTAGTACAAGCGGTAGTAAGCAAAGTATTTTGACATATATTTCAAAACTTCCTCATACACTTGATATTGAATGAACAACATTATGTAATATTAACTAATACATGTATAAAATTATAAAAAAACAACATTCTATTCATTTTTAAATACATATTAGTAACTTATAAGTGACTTACAAATGTAATCGGAGATTTCCCCTTAGTTTTGGCACATTCTTCAAGTTTCTGGTCCTTAAGCTTATCAGCCAGTATATCCACTGCAATCATCTTGTAATCCACAATGGATTCAATTCCACATAACAATATTTTCCATGGTGAATCACGCCATCCACACAATTCACATTATAAAGTCCTTATCAACATTTTTAATTCATTAAACCTACAAAAAGTTTAATATTTTTAATTCAATGTTCTGTGATTTAGTTTGCTTAATTCAAAAAAAAAAGTATTGAGATGTTTTCCATTCAATTTTCAGCTTTCAATTCAACAAAAAGTACAAATGGCATAGAAATAAACATCTAATACACAATCAACAGAACTCAAATCCAATGAACTTTAGTCCAAGCGTTTAGAAAAAATATAATTGTAACACAAGACCTTTTGACGACAAATATTAATACATCTATGACACCAAAATAAATAAGTTCTTTCAGATTACCAACTCACTGTGAACTACTTGTAATACAGATCCACTCATGCAGATAATCTTATAAACGCCAAATATAACGGGAGTATTTTACCCTGCCAATAGGTACTATCAGTCAAATATGTAAATATGATATTGTACTTGAAATAAATGAAGAGTGCAATCAAAAGCAAATACACAGGTGTGTACAAAGCTTAACTACTCACCCTATAATAAACAAATATTTACACCTTTTACAATTCTATTCCGGTTTATTTAGCAGCTGATAGAAAACGTTTTCTTCAAATCAATAGCTCTCATTACTATCAGTTTGTCACTGTTTAAATTGTTTCAAAGGTACATTTTCATGGAAATTGAGAAAAAGTGTTACTTTGACTAGCAAATCATAAATTTTCTTGTAATAAATATTTTGTTCCTATTTCCTAATAAAGTACTCAAACACACCTACATATATTGGAGTAGAAATTTGGATCAAAAATTGAATCCTTTATATGTCACTTTTGCCAGCTATCTCTTACTAGACTACCATTTACTGACTCAGAAGAAAGGAAAGTGTTACTTACACACACACAAAAATGTTAACTAATGAGAAATTAAGGCCTACCTATATTGTCAACATTAATCTCAAAAATAAATCTTAGTTTTGAATTATTTTAAACTGGAGCAGAATTTAATTAGTTGTATATTTGCTGTGTTATTAAATGACATCTAAATTGTGTGGTTTTCTTTCCCATTAATGAATCATAATATGTATCCTATTTTATCCGTTTACAAATCGTACATACAATGTATAGTGCAATATATTTTGGCATTGCATTTTACCTATTATTGTTAAGTGGTTAACAGCTAAGAATACCACCATTAATCAAATAAAAATATATTGCTGGAGCAGAATATTAAGGGAATGTGTTTTCTTTCAAATAAACATAAATGTAACTTTAATGTTACAGCAATTTCTCCATACATGGACATGCAATCAGCTGCATTGCAATAGTGATTCAAACTTCGAATTCTGATATAAGTAATGAAGAAAAATAAACTAACCCATGATAGATATATTTCATGTCCTATAATTTTTATCATCCATTAGAACAAATTTGAATTCAGTTAGAAATTAAGTGAAAGATGTAATTGGGTCAGTAGTAATAAGTTTCTTAGGTGCAACTCATCTACGCTTATCCTTGGCATGATTATGTAAAATATCTTATTAAAACAAGGTATGTAAATTTAGAACATAGATTTAGATGACTGTAAAAGAGTACACAGAAGTCATTGCTAAAAAGAATCTCAATCTTGTTGTAAGCTCTAAGACCCTTCAGTGAATGTTGAGATAAAGAACAGCAATAAAAGTGTGTTCTTATTGGTAATCTCCTAAGTTTATTCAGGGAATTTCCCCGATCTATCCTTTCTTTTCCAGTTGACATTGAGTTTATACATGTATGAAATGTACAAATATTCGATATTATAAACGACAGTGAACTAACGCCTGGTAAATCTCAAATAGATATAGAATTCATCTAAATGACTTTTAAAACCTTTTCCTAATTTCGGTATATATTTCAACACTTTATTAAAATTATATCAAAAGTTTTATGTTACAAACTGAAGGTGTGTAATATATATACTCTGTAATAGGCAAAATAATATATTTTCAAGTACTGTGTTTTTTAAATTTACACTGTTGGCATATTGATTCTATGAAATTCTGTCAATATTCCAATACGAGCTCATTCATCAGCAATAATCTAAATTAAAATGTAATATATTTCTCCTACAGTTACAGCTTTTTTACCTGTTCTATAATCTATTGATAGATTTTTTTATAGCCTAATTGGATTTTTGGGTCCATTACATACTTGGCAATGTGACAATTCGGCTTGTAGGTATTAATCCATTGTAATTTCATTACGGCAATTGATTTAATTACACGTTTGATTGCCTGTCTTGTAATACTACACCCTTCTTCAACATGCTTCTGTTATTTCCAACTTTGGTCGAAAAACAAAAATAGTTTGGCCTGATAATTAAGTTCAAACCAGGTCAAAAACATGAATAGGTATAGTCTGTCCAGTATTCCAGTGAACAAATTCAATTGTTATCCTGACATGTGATAGCAATAGTGATGGCAAGATCTATGAACATATTTGAATATGGAAAATCAAAAACAGATGCTTATGAAGCCAAAATTTTAAAACAAGAAAGCAAAGGCTGAAATAAAATCTTAATAAATCTATTTCACTATTGAGTCAATCTTCAAACAGCTGAAATCCTTCCTTACAAGAATCTTTTAATTTTCACATGAAAAGAAAACCTCAAAACTCAATATTCATAATTATAAACATGTACAACCAAATAAAAATTCCAAATTTCAAGCATCAAATTGATTTGATGTAGGCTTTCTCAAGTTATTATTCAGAAACCCAAAATTTGTCTGCTGTCCACTTTATAAAGTGGCACATATAACTATGGAGTGACATATAACTATAGTGAAATCAGTCAATTTCGAACTGGGTCTGTGTTATGTGATTTTGAACAAAATATTTAAATTTCAAATGTTAGTATCTGAAGACCAATTTGGGAAGGAATGGCAGAAGTATGTACATGTAAAACTATATGCCTGTCACCTATTTGTGAGGCAAAAATAGTAGAATAAAATTAATACTGATAAAAATGGCAGTGTTGTGAACATCTGATCTTGAATTCAAGGACCAAGGAAAAAAAAGACCGTATCCTACCTCCTTCTTTTCTATAAATTTGATTTCCAGACCACAACTCTTTTAAGTTCTGACCCCCAATTTCTTTGGAGGTGGTTAAATGATAATAATGTATAGATGTAAAGTTTACCAAAAACCTTAAAACCAATAAAAAAAAACCTGTACCTGTAAGTATTTGTATCTCCATTTACTAAAACTTTAAAAGTTAGTCTTGGGTAGCTGTCTCATTCACATATACCAAACATCTGATTTTATTCCAATATTAATTTCAAGTAACAAATGTATTCTAAAAATATTTCTTGTAAATTCAAAGTAAAGAGCCTGCAGGTCTAGCAATTCTAAAAACACCTCTTTTTTTCTCAAGATATTTACATTGTTCTATTATGTTTGCATTTTAACCCGTCAGGGTTTCACTTTTTGCAATAAAGTTATTATATACATACTGTAACAGCCATTCATGAAACCAAGGTTAGAGGGACATATAAATCTATCAATGCCAGAGAAAAGATGCCTTAAGAGTTTGCACTTTCTCACAAACTATGATGCTTAGTAACCTAAAGGGTTGAAAAGATTAAATTTTAATGATTACATAAAGAATTATTCATGCAGAAAATCGAGACGAGGTCCAAATACAGACTTATCAAAATTATTTATATATTAGATGAATATTTTTACTTTTCATCAAATAAATAGAATAAGAAATAGAGAAGTACTTAAGCTAACAATACAATCATGTGTGATTTTAATATTTTGTGGTGTTTAGAAATGTTGGCAAAACTCCAAGATCTAGACCTTTATTGTGTTAGCCTTTGACCTTTATAAATACTAAGTATATAGATAAACATAAAAGGCTAAGATTATTCTTTGGCACCAAATCAATACTACCAGCATTCTTATTTTTTTACAAATATTTTAATTGTAAATTTAAGATATGAAAATAACTAAGGAGGTCCTATTTATTTGGGTAACGATAGAATGTGTGATTACTTCAGATAAACCATACCCACAAACGTGCTGTTAAAATGTCCTTATTCTCCACAAGAACCCAAGACACGCAAACATTATAAACTTAATTGTTATGGTTTCAAAATGTAATTACTAACGGTACATATATAATTTTGTTCACTCCCACTGGGCCTATGAACGTCAAGTTTGATTGGAAGTCAAACTTTTTTCTTTTTTTAAGTGGAAATATACCAACGGTGCTTTCTATTATATAAATATAATTAAACAACTTTTTACAAAACATAACTTATGGTCAAATATCACAACTTATGCATAATTTTCCTAATTCATGGTCTCAAAAATTAAAGAATGTCATTTGGAGGGAAGAAGTAACCAAAGGGGCAATAAAAATCTCGTGAATAAGTGATAAATCTAAAATTATCACAATCGAAAGGGAATTTTTCATTGGCCCAAACAATGTGTAAAAATGAATATAATTCTTGCAACCTTGGCATTGATTGAAGGGGAGCTTGTCTAAAAATGTGTAAAAAATGTATTGACAAGTGAAAGACATGTAACAAAGTATCTCATTTAAAGCATAACAGTCCTAACAAGAATGTGTCCATAGTACACGGATGCCCCACTCGCACTATGTTCAGTAGACCATGAAATTGGGGTCAAAACTCTAATTTGGCATTAAAATTAGAAAGATCATATCATAGGGAACATGTGTACTAAGTTTCAAGTTGATTGGACTTCAACTTCATCAAAAACTACCTTGACCAAAAACTTTAACCTGAAGCGGGACAAACAGACGGATGAATGGATGGACGAACGGACGCACAGACCGAAAAACATAATGCCCCTAGGTGGGGCATAAAACTATGTAAAAACTAGTGTTATTGTAAAAAATAGAAAGGAATTGTTATCTACTGTTACTAAATGAGGTTTTTTGCCAATGTTGTTGGGTATCTCACTGACATATACCCCACATTTCCTTTTATAATTCATATTTTGGAAGATAATCATATTTTTTTATCAAACAAACAACAAATGCAAATAAATCCAAATCAGTTCTCAGAGGAAAGCAATGGACTTTCAGGATTTCAGGAAACAGCTGCCAATCATCAAATAAATTACTCAGAGAAAAGGAAATTTCCTAAACACAATTACAAAATGTTACCAAATTCACTGCTCAGAAGAAAACCACAGATTTTCTGCAATAATAAACTACAATTCTTCAAAGAAACCCATTTATTCAAATGTACTATCAAATATTACTAACACTAAACAGTAGCAGGTTGAAGAAAAATTATCAACTTGATGCAACAACTAATGACAAAGTACCAATAATAAAGGAACCCAGGGATTTCTAGGAAATATATTATTGACCCTAAATTACCTTGTTTTTTACTTGGTACCATTGTACTTCAACTGTTACCTTATAAATCAACACAGAAAAAAAACACAGATAAAAATATCCATATTAATTATAAAAATCATTTTTTTCATGGCAATTTTGCATATAATATGAAAATAAGGAGACACAGTATTCCAATTTGAATCGAAATGATATGGATGTAAACAACTATAGGATACCGCACAACCTTCAACAATGAACAAAACCCATAACATATAGTCAGCTATAACAGGCCTCCACATGACAAAAATGCTTATATTACTATTTCACCATCTAAACAATTACTTATCTAAAGAAAGTCAGCCATTAAGTACAGTATCCAGTTGAAAGCCAAAGATATTCTTAACAACATACTAATTAACACTAAAAGTGCTGGGAAAGTTCATGGAATACTTTCTTCATATAACTAAGTAGGAAACCTTAACCTCAATATGTTCTTTTTTCTTCTCTTCATTACAGCATGGATTGGAAATATTAAAAACCCATCTATCTTATACTTCATAGGTAATATTCTATTTCAAAAACATATAAGTATATATTGAAAGTCTTACCTTTGCTATATTTTACTTTCATTGATAAAAAAAATAATATTTATCATTCTGGTGTAATGGGGGTTGTCTGTAGAATTAAATCCTATACAAAAAATTTCTTGTCAAAGAAGATGTTCCTCAAAAAGTACTCTTTTCCATTTATCATGCTATGTTCATAACATGTTTACCAATACTTGTACTGAATCAATTTGTTTCTCTATTCAAAGCATTTTTGTTGATTTATTATTTAAAAAAGTTGATTGAAATATTAAAAACATTCTGATCAATGTCAAAGCCAGTTCAAAGAAGCATTTAAAACTCATCTAACATGTCAGAAAGCAGATTAAAAACTGTTGTTCAATAAAACATACAAGGATGGGTATAAAATAAGTAGTAGCAACAACTGTTATGTTTATGAATTAGAGTCAGCTGTTGGTTGCAGAATTTAATAAAAGTTACCGAACAACCTTGTCTGTGTATATTTTATAAACATTTGCATAATTTGAACCAAACTTTTTACTTAGTAAAATCATTTTTATTTCTGTATAAAAGTATAAACCCATGGTGGTTAAATTCTTAATTACTACAGTTCTGAGATCTGACTTAAGAAGAAAATGAAAATAAATGTTTTAAGGTTTAAAGTTGTATGCTTTTCTTTGTGAGTGTTTGAAATGAATAACATTAGTACCATGTTAACAAATATATAAGGCAGACATGAGGCACTAAAAATAGAGTAAATAAACTCATCATAGATACCAGGATTAAAATTTTGTATGCCAGACGCGCGTTTCTTCTACAAAAGACTCATCAGTCACGATCATATCAAAAAAGTTAAAAAGGCCAAATAAAGTATGACAATAAAACTCTTTTATCAAACCTAATGAGACGATCTTAGCATTTCTGAAATTTATGTGCACATGATCATTTTATATGATCTGCATATGAAAACTTGTCATTAACACTTAACTCTTATTTGTACAAAATAAATATAACAAATACTAATATCAGATAAAATTATATGGAATGTGATAAATGTATACCTAAATATGAATGGTTCTAAATATCTATATCTCAAAGCTAGAGGAAGACAATTTTACAATTTTTTTTTATGTTTAACTAAAAACAACTGTACTCACAATCACGAAGAAAACTTCCTTTCAAATTAAATGTTAATAAAAAGAACCTATAACCATTTTCACTTCAATTTCAAAAATAAAATATATTTAAAACACAAGAACACAAGTTGAAATGTTTTACAATATTGAAATTATTAAATGCCTTACCTAACTATTCAATCTCCAGTATATCCAAATCCTATTTGTCCCAATAAGGTTAATTATCCCATAGTGACCTACCGATTAGCATATAATGACCTTAAGTAATCCTACATGCACAAAACGAATGATTATTGCTTTGTAAATTATTAATAAACCTAATTAGCTGCAGGCATAAAGATATTAATTTAGTATGAAGAAAGAGATGAACTATGATAACTATAGATAATAATTTAACATTGTAATATTCTAAAGTGTCATGAATATCAAATTATAACTATAATCAAATGAATATTATAGGGTCAAAGTTTGCATTTTTATCCTTTCAGGTGTAATACCACCATTGATTTTCCCCTATTAAGTCTTTGTTACATTTGCACTTTTCAAAAAATTGTGCAGAATTTATCTTTGTTTCAAATAAAGAAATACTAGGCATGAGTAAAGTTTTATCCTGTCTAGTACTATGGACAAAATTCCACATAACATTTCATTGCATATAAGAAAATAACCATGACTGGAAGTTAACCAATCAAATTTTCACCTCTTTTTTACCTGTGTACAAGGTTTAGTAACCATGTAACCTCAAGTTTCCAAAATATTCTATAGAAACCCCAAATAAAAAAATAATGGTGCTTTGAAATACCCAAGATATATGTTTATGACCAAGAAATATTTTACTGCAATGAAATGTAGGATTAATTACCTAAAACTATCAAATTCAGGGGAATATTTTTTTTCGACCTTTTTTCGTATGCAACCGAATGTGACGTACTATAATGATTTGGTGGTATTACACCTTCAAATTCAGCAAAAATTATGTTAAGAATAGGTATACTAGCTGCTTTTCTTTTTCTTTTTTTTATTCCAGAAGAAGAAACATTTATGAAACCCATATTTGCCAAATCAGCAAGCTGATCAAATGATATGTTTCCCTAATTACAGGGTAATACCAACAACTTTGAGTAAATTTCAATCTTCAATGCTAAAGTTTTACATATGAAAGGAGATGAGATGTCTGTTACACAAACAATGAATGATTGATTGATTATTGGTGTTTAACACTACTATCACCATTATTGACTATATAGTGGCAGTCAGTTTTTATTGGTGGAAGAAGCAGGAGAGAACCACAGACCATAAACAATGATATGTAAGTTACACAAATATAAGATGTAATTTACACAAAAATAAGATGTAATTTACACATATATATATATAACATGATGAAAGTTACAAAAGAAATAGGATGAAAGTTACACATATACAATGATACAAATAACTCCTAAATAGTAAACCACCTGGGTGGTCTCATGTTAGTGTGTTCGCCTTAAAAACTGGAGGTCGTGGGTTGGAACCCTGGGCAGGTCAAACCAAAGACTTTAAAATTGGTATTTGCTGCTTCTCCGCTAAGCACGTGGCATTAAGGAGTAAGACCAAAGACTGATCTGATCGACTCGGAGTCAGAATAATGTGTTCCGGTAAGGTGACATGTCTTCCTGCGCACTGTTACCTTGAGAACTAGCACTTTGAAAATCCGGCTCAGCCTGTCAGTCTAGTACAAAGCAGGGTTAATATTCATATTACATTAACATGCTCTCGTCCTGAATATGCATATTAATTTGCCACTGGACATTAAGCAGCCATCCATCATCATCATCCTAAATGGTAGAAATGAAAATCAGCAAAATCATACTTGACCCACATCTTGTAATGACATACAAAATATTCATATTTGAAAAGGATTGGTTGAATGTTTCTTATATAATTTACGGAAACTGTTTAAGCCTTCTGCCTTCTATACTACAATGAGGGTTTACCTCACATTTATAACTGGATTTTCCATCAGAAAACCCAAGTAATAAAAAATCTTTTAATATGAAAAAGTGCAATAAAATGAAAAACATGTTGCATATATTAACGATTTATAACTCTTTAAAAAATTAAAACTAAACTAATTATCGATGGCCTCACTATAGATATACATCTAATGACTTTCAAGCCATTAATTTCCTACAAATTTTGGAACATAAAAAAAATGCTGATAATTACAGTAATAATTTATATTTTTAAGAGATATATACAGTATCAAAATGAATCCTAATTTGAAAGGACTACACTTGAACTTTAAATACAAAAAATGCAATTTTCATTTTTCATATTTAGCCCCCATACTTTCTTGTATTAAAATTAATAATTATAAACCAGGTTAAGAATATATTTCCAAAGAGTTTTACCAAATCTATATTAAAAAGGATTTATACAGTTACATATAATATATTACTTTTTGTAAGGGATGTCTTCAATCAATTAAAAAATGATAATAACTCCATACAAGTTTGCTAAATTGGACAGCAACAGGCATCTGAGAAGTCCACTTCCTGTCTAAAACAATAGACAATTATACAGTATACCACACTCTTAAAACTCTCAAGTCTAGAAAGGCTGTGACTAAATTGAATCAGAAACTACTTAAGATCTGCCATTAAAACATGTAATTCCATATAGGACCAAAAACTTTACGATATAACGGATGTATTCATGTCAGGTTTAGGAATTTTTGTCAGATGTTAGGACTCCTTTGGTTTTTTCTTACAATACAGGGTAAATATTTTGCCCAATATCACCCACTTTTAGACTTCAATAGATCATAAAAGGTCATTTATGAAAATTTAAGCAGATTCTAGATTTCTTTTCTTACAATTTGAGACCCTAATAATGTCAATGCTAAATATAGGGTAAAAGTCTCAGTCAGCCTTTTCCAGCCATTTAAAAAAAATTATATATCTCATAAAGGAGTTCCATCACCTATCAATATTTTTAGCTTATTTTGTTCCTTAACTAATGCTCTTCTGATTTATAGTATCAATTTTAAATTCCAGATTTTTTTAATTTCACCTGACTACATCCTTACGACAATCACTGACAAGGTTAAAGATTTGTATTTTTCATAAAACACATGATAGAGCAGCTATGGAATTATTCCTGAACTGAATTATGAAACTATCATTTAATTATTATATACAATACAACAATAATGATTTATTAACGTCTCACCATCAATAATACAGTATACACATTTCATATTGTAAAAGTAAAAATTATTAATGCCATTCTAAAAAGAATTATGAGAGACGGATTAAAAAGGAACTAGTATATTTACACATTCTCAAAAAGCTATTATAAAAAAGGTTAAACCATAAAACATAATTACATCTATTATCGGTATAAAAAACATCTTCTACGGTCTAAAATAAGTTTGCAGGTCTTGGCACATTTTTGTATCACATTAATGGTGTCATTGGCTAAAATAAAAGAAAGTTTCAAGGAATTCGGCCTTAGACTGAAATTTTTGTTTTCAAAATTTAAAATCTTATACAGTTCGTCTCAAAGATCGCCGTACAAGGGACATTCAGTCTGTACATGCTCCTCCGTTACAATTTTATCTTCACAAACAAAACAAGTTATTTGATCTATTGGGAGACTCTATTAGCCTCCTGTCTCCACCCCTATTGGGGCAACACCTCAGCAAAACTGAGAATAAGCTCTTCGGTGTGACGGTATAATAAGTTTGTTTAGGTAAAGCTCTGTATATACATACTGTTTAAATGTTCTATATGTACGTAGTTTGTTACCCCCAGGTCCATTTCGCCTAGTAGTGTCACTATGCAACTTTTCATGCCATTTCTGTTTGAAGTCGGACATAAGTTTTACATGTATCACATTGGTAACTCCCAGCTTATCAATGTCAATGTCGTTAAACCAGTTTGGTATCCCACATAATTTAAATTGTCAATAGATTCTAAAGTTAAGAGTTGTCGTCTGAAATTCTGCTCTGCCCAATAGTTGATTTTCTTGTTAAGTCTATTCTCATCCATATATCGTGACCGATTCCAGTAATTTATGATAACCCGCCACTGTTTTACAAACAGTGGTGTCCATCCTAAATCTCCATTAACTGCAACATTAGGCGTATAACCACCAACGCCCATGAAAAAACGGACTGCTTTGTTTTGAACTGCATTTATACACGTTATATATACACAGTAGTACAACAATCATTACAAACAAATGGAAATACAAAAATTGATTTGAAGCAATCACATTTGAACATACCAAAAATACAACAAAAATCTTTCCAATAAATACAGAACATTAATTATTGCGAATCCTTGACCACTAGCAAAAATGCAAAATCTAATTAAAATGTTATGAAGGAAAATCACTAATGAAATTGTGAATGCAAGATTTTATTCTTGCAAACCTGATGCTGTCCCATTTTGGCATTAATAAAAAGATTGCACTCATTTCAGAATTTACAATACCGGTATTCTAAAGCATATCTGTATGCTTAAATCATAAGCAAAAGAATCTCAATTTTTCAACATAAAGATTAACAGAATGCATAATATTTCAACAGGTTACCATTATTTTATCATACATGTACCAGAATAAAAATTGACAACTCACCACAAATCAAGACTAACATTATCATCAGAAAAGTTGCAAACAGACAAATTTTCTGACACCAACAAAACAACTACATGTATTACATGTAAGACCTTAAGAAGTATAATTATGTCCAATTTTACTGATTACATGACAAAGTGGAGATGACCAAAGGCTATTTTTGATACATCAATGTCATTATTCAGTTTTATAAATCATGGTCATCACCAATTTATAAAATGATTCAAGTTTAAAATGGTCACTGAACATAAATAAACGAGTTCAGCCAAATTAGCAATTATAACACTTCTTTAGCTGATTAGTGCTTTTAAAGATTACATATTGAAGAAATTGATGTTTTTGAGAACGAGAATACAATTAAATTCATGTATTTTTACAATTATCTGAAGGATTAATATAATTTGATACAGATTTAAGTAAACATGACACTGGTTTCTAACAAAAAGTCTTAAAAAAAAGAATAATATCTTCTTGACACAAAATATTAAAAAAAAAAATAATGTCTTC